CCTGTGTATTAGACATTTTCTTCACATGCAACGGAGGCAGTCCTGCGTGTCCTACTGTAAAGTCTTCAACATGAGCTGCAGCCTCCGACGCGGTCGCGAGGAATCAGACGCAGCTCGGAGCCGTGCTTCAGGAACACGTTGCCGGCACTCTGCGAAGGGTTGATGCCAATGCCATCTACAGTAACAGCCTCGTCAGTCTATTTACGCTTGATCCAGCTTCTCTAATTTCTCTATACCATTGGTGATGATGGCGCTGGTAGCTGCCGGCACGTGGAACTGAATCAAGGACATATAACTCTGTCAATACCGCAGCGATGAAGGCCATTATTGCAGCATTTTGTTTGGAATTTTACCTCCTCCGCAACGTATTTGAGCACGGCCGTGAACGGGGCTTGCTCCGGCACATTCACGCTGCGATAAAAGCAATGGACAAAGATTTAGAAGGCGAGGAAAGTGGAGAGCAGGAGAAGGCGGCGTACACTCGGTACGGCAGCTTGGGGTCCGACGTGAGTGTAACCTTGAACGTGACTTTGGCGGCCCTATACACGCGCAAACAGCAGCGTCAGGCGACTACGGCGACAACGAAGAGAGGCAGAGAGACGCCACGTACATTATGGAGACTGGTACGAAACGAGAATGAAAGGGAGCGAGTCGCGATAGATGCTAATAGATAGGCACTGTACTATCGCATACATATTGAAGGCTCTTCAACTTAGACTTGCACAGGTGTTATTGTATCATACAATACATACAATTTGTATGTATAAAATAAAAATAATACAGCGCAGTCTAGGCTTCGAAGCTTGCTGAATAGGGGGGATTAATCGCGATTATTTGATGATAGTTGTGGGGGTTGATCCTCTGGAGATTATGTTTTCGTCGCTGCGAGACTTGCGATGTTGATGCTGTTCCGGTGTAATGGTAACGGTGTCAGCCCGATGATTGAGCATTTCGCAGTCTCCATGCGCCAGGTTTCCGCATGGCATGGATGATGATCGCCAGCGTCAACGCGGCCGACAGCCAGAGGATGAGTCTGCGTATACGTCGATTTCCGTCTTCATGTTTCTTGCGGTTGTATCGGTGCAGGTGACGGTCGTGCGTGCGCAGTGGAGTGCTCTCGTTCGCAACGCCCATGACAAACGGCGTTTCCGGAAATGGCCGCGACACAATCCCCGCTTGTCGAGACGCGAAACTAGGTCTTCAACCTCTCGTGAATCCGTTAAGCGACCAGTTCAAGCGACTTTGTAATTTCTGAACCGAGACAAAAGTGACTAACTGAACATCAAGTGCGTGTTCTTATTATTTTTTTTGCCGCTACGGAAAAGCATGGTGACGTTTGGCTCCCTATCGTGCTTAGAACGCTTGCTTGTTGAGGAACTTGTTGAGCATGTCGAGTGCAATAGCGGGTTGGTCCTGCGGCACCATGTGACCCGAGTTGAACACCTTGAGGAACGTGAACTGGTTGTTGAAAGAGCGCACGACGCCGCCGTTCGTCCCGTCGGCCGTGATGTAGGCAGTCTCAGGTGCAGCGTTGAATCCCTCCTTACCCTTCCAGTCGAGAGCCAACGTCCACGCCTGGTTACCGTACCAGTTGCACATCAAGTCGGCGTCACCAGCGTAGATGAGGACACGCAGGTCGTCGTTCAATAGATCGGCCACGTACGTGTGGAACGGCTTGGCCATGTCTGCCGTCATGTAGAACGCCACGTTCACGTCCATGTTGCACTCTTGCCACTTACCGACACGCTTCGAGTCGACGCCCAGAGATTCACGGACATTAGGAGCATCCAGGTACTTGGAGACATACGACATATCGTAGCACTTGGTCGGGTCGTCCATTCTGGTGCACGGCATGCGGATATCGTACGGGTTCCGGTTGGCTGATAAAAGCGGAAGGAACAGCTTCTCCGTGCAATATGCAGTTCCGTCAAAGCATGCAGTAGTATTCTGCGGACATTGGTCGAGGATCGCACGACAAACAGGTGCGTCGGCCTTCATTTCTTCCAGCTGAGCAGCGTCGACGAGGGGGATGTCGTACGCGTTCTTCTCCGCCATGTCGATGTAGTGAGGCAGCTGGATAGAAGCCTGTGTGATGCCGTTGCCGATAGCGATTCCCTTCAGGTTAATGTGTTTCGACGTATCAACGTTCAGTTTGTTCTGCTGCCAGACGTAGTGTGCAGCTACAGGAACGTAGTGGCCACCGTAGCTCTCCCCAGTGATGTAGAAGTCGCGACCAGCAAGCTCCGGGTGCTTCTCGAAGAAACCTTGCAAGAAGTAGTAGATGTTCTCGCCCACATTGTCCTCACTGTTATCAGCGTCACGTTCATCGCCGTACGTGAAGCCAACCGTCGTCGGTTGGTCCAGCCACACTACGTTGCTCTCGTTTGTCCACGAGTATGGGTTGCGTTTTGTAGACAGATCCGGTAGCACGTGACACGGTCCGTTCTCAGTGAGTAGTGCCATCATACTGGAGCACCCAGGTCCTCCCGTGAGCCAAAGCACAAGCGGGTCAGTGCTTGGTTGGCTACGTGATTCAAAGTACCAGTAGAAGTAGTGGTCGTCGACCTTGTTGGGCAGTTTGATGTATCCCGAATCTTGCGTCGTGAGACCGCAGAAGGACTCATGACTTCCAGCCCCTGTTGTGACGGGAACACCTTCAGGTACGGAGTCGACCTTCTTCTTCTTGAAAAACAGTGGTTCTCCAACGTACACCACCAACAGGCAGACGCCAATGAGCGACACCACAGCGATCAATGCGCGACGGACGTTACGATTCCGAGCCTCCTGCTGCGCATACCGCTGCACACTGGGGCTTAACGTCAACGGAGTCGTCTCGGACGCCATTAGTGCTCGATATTTCCCAATCACTTACACTTAAGCGCGCGCAAAACCAAGAGTGATGAGTGTGTCAACGGCGCCGGACAAGAAAGTATCCTCCCTCCAAACTCAGATTGGTAACGGTTTTCAGACCATAGTGAGTGAAAGTAATTTGTCCGTATTTGACTGCAACGCAGCTGCGATTGCCAATCAAAAGCGCGCCAAAAAGTGTCCATTTCAAGTGGACACTTGCTCATATCTCTCGCACTACGTTCGTCTGCCTTTCCTACGACGCGACAACTCGCGCTGGTCGTTCCAACTCACTTTACTCACTGCAAGACGGACCTGAAGACGGCATGGCGTCCGAGTCGACTCCGTTGAGACTGCGCTCGACGTCCCTGCAGTACAATTTGCGCATCTGGAGACGCGAAGAAGCGCGTAAGCGAGACCTCAAGCGCGGCGGTGTCTTCATCTTGGCGCTATGTGCTATCAGTCTCATGGTCATGTACGTCGCTGAACCTCTCGTCGACAATGGAGAGAGTGACGACACTGCACAGCAGGTACAGATTCATGCGGCGACGCAAGGTGTACCGGCGAACATGACGGCAAACAGTGAAGTATTTTGCGGACTTACGACGCAAGACTCGGGATACATCAAACTGCCCAACAAGGTCGACGACCACTACTTCTACTGGTACTTTGAATCACGCAGCCAACCAAGCACTGACCCGCTTGTGCTTTGGCTCACGGGAGGACCTGGGTGCTCCAGTATGATGGCACTACTCACTGAGAACGGACCGTGTCACGTGCTACCGGATCTGTCTACAAAACGCAACCCATACTCGTGGACAAACGAGAGCAACGTAGTGTGGCTGGACCAACCGACGACGGTTGGCTTCACGTACGGCGATGAACGTGACGCTGATAACAGTGAAGACAATGTGGGCGAGAACATCTACTACTTCTTGCAAGGTTTCTTCGAGAAGCACCCGGAGCTTGCTGGTCGCGACTTCTACATCACTGGGGAGAGCTACGGTGGCCACTACGTTCCTGTAGCTGCACACTATCTGTGGCAGAAAAACAAATTGAACGCTAACATATCGAAGCATATCAATCTACAGGGTATTGCTATCGGCAATGGCCTTACGCAAGCTTCTATTCAGATGCCACACTACATCGATATGGCTATTCACAACGCGTATAATATTTCGCTAGTAGATGTGGCTCAACTCGACGAGATGAAAGCAGCAGTACCGGTTTGTATCTCTCTATTGGAGCAGTGTCCACAGAACGTGACAGCGTGTGGTGCCGGAGAGGATTTCTGTATGGAAAAGCTGTTTAATCCGATGTTAAAGGCTGGTCGTAACCCGTATGATATCCGTCTGCCTTGCAAAAACGACGGTGACGACACCGAGTGCTATGATATCTCGTATGTCTCCAAGTATCTAGATGCGCCTAACGTACGTGAAGCGCTTGGAGTGGATTCAAACCGAGTAGGCGCGTGGCAAGAGTGCAACTCGAAGATCTATGAAGCCTTCTTAAAGACAGCTGACCCTGCCAAGCCATTCAACTCGTACGTGGCAGATCTGTTGGACGACGGCGTACGCGTCCTCATTTACGCTGGCGACGCTGATCTCGTTTGCAATTGGTACGGAAACGAGGCTTGGACTCTTGCACTGCAGTGGAAGGGCCGAGATGGATTTAATGCTGCACCCGAGACCTCGTTTATCACAGCGAGTGGAACTAACGCAGGAGTAGTGAGGTCGTTCAACCAGTTCACGTTCCTCAAGGTGTTCAACTCTGGTCACATGGTGCCTATGGACCAACCGGCAGTGGCGCTCGAAATGCTCAAAAAGTTCTTGAAAAACGAGAACTTCTGATAGCAACTCAAAGTCCAGCAGATTTAGACTCTAACTCTAACTTGCCCATACTCTAATGATTAGAGTACCGGTTAGGGTGTAGATACGTAACCCGCGTATGTTCATTACTCATTAAACTGCGTCTCCGTTTCTTCTTAGATGTCCATCAACTTCTTGGCGTTCTCACGTAGTATAGCACTCTGCATGTCCTTGTTCATGTTGGCCATGATTTCGTAGTTCGACAGCGTCGATCGCCAGTCTAACTCGCTCAGATCCTCGCTTTCTAAAGACTCCTTATCCTTAGCAGGAGGGAAGAACGGGTGATCCGTTCCAAAGACGATCTTGTCCCACCCAACGAAGTCAATCAGACACTGCAGCGCTGGCTCATGATACGCCACAGCATCGTAGTAAAACCTCTTCAGATACACACTCGGTGCGTGCTTTAGCTTCTGCGCAGTAGCAGCGTCATGCTCCACACAACTATCCAGTCTCCCCGCCAAAAATGGTAGAGTTCCTCCCGAATGAGCCAACAGAAGTCTCAATGTATCCGGTACTTTATCCAACAGCCCTGACAGCACAAGCTGCGATACCGCCACCGTCGTCTCGAACGTGAAGCCTAAGGCTAGAAACAACGCATGGCCGTACTTGCCGTAGTGTTCATTGCCCACTCCATAATGAGGGTGTAGGAAGATCGTGAGGCCTGCACGATCAACAGCTCGGTAGAATTCGAGCATCTCTGGGTCATCCAGCCCTTTGCCGTTGAGTCCGGCAGTGCTTAAGATCACACCGCGGACGTGGGGTAGTTCACTAGCCACGCGTTGTATCTCCATCACTGCTGTTGAGAAGTCCTGGGGAACCACTCCAAAGGCGAGGAACCGACCATCGGAGTCTTGACACAGCGTCTCCATGTCGTTATTTAGTAGTGTCGCCTGTTGAATCTGCTCGTTTAAAGGCAAGAAATCGAGCCACGGATTAGCGAGACTCAGCACAGACGTGCGGATACCGTGGCGATCCATGTACTGGATCTTGTTGGCCACGTCCCAGTATTCTTTTCCGATGGGGCGACCAGCGCTGATACCGGGGGTTGTCGAGCTTTGCTGCTCCATTTGCTGCTGCTCAGCCGGGAGGATGATTAAACGTTCTCCGCCGATGCCGGGACGCACCATTGGGACGTCGGTTCGAGCGCGTAATAGGTCCATGTAGCGCGGAAGATACACATGCGTGTGCAGGTCTATAGCGTCCAGCTCGCGGACGCTTGACTTGCCTTGAGTAGCCAGGAGCTTGGTGAGGCGCGACATGGAGAAGGAGGGGAATGAATGCTGGTATCTAAGGAACCTGAAGTGGTATCCGCTTGAATGTACCGAGAGTGTACCAATCGTGATGAAATAAAGTTATTGATGTTGAAGTGGAGAAAGCAGGCCAAGGATGATCGACATGTTCATGGAGGCGTCCGCGGATTGGACATGATGACCCGAGTCGTGGAGCCGCGCTGGCGTGCGAGCGAGTTCCCGCGTTAGAATCACAACTGGGGTCATTGCAATGTGAGGACACCGGAAGACGAGTCTATTGTAGTTTCGGTGTGGTCGCAGTTCAACTCTAGTTCCTTCCTCTTATTCGATCACTTCAACTTCGCGCTATGTCACTGATGCTGCTTGGTAGCTTTGACACGAAGTTAGCTGGCATTTGATATGGACTATATCATCGAGTGAGCTGTCGAGGTTCTCCAGAATGCATCCTCCAGGAATGCTGGCAATATTTTTAACAAGAGGACGAGAGATGAGCTTTGGTCCCCCAGACTGCCATAGAGGAGCTCCTCTCGTGGCGTGCGTCAAAGTGGTCGACTCGCTGGTTCGATGAACACGCAACGGGATCCGACTTGCTTTCGAGTGCGTTTGAACTGCGCTACACCACCGCCGCCAGATCTACAGTCGATCACTGCAGCTGCTACATGTAGCAGATCCAAAGTGACTGGAGCGTGTCATTTTTTGCGCTTGATGCCATCGTATGGTCTTCCCGCAAGTCACTTCAACTCGATCACTTCTCAATTTGTCACCAACCAACCAAAGCAACTGCCAAATGGCACCACGAGCCTCTGCCGACTTCGTCACCGCGCAGGAAGCTGCTACGGAATCACATTTTCACGGCATTATGCTGACCTGGGACCCCGCTCTGCTCGCTGCCTTCGTCAACGCTGCTAACACTGTCATTCCAGTCGAGCAGCCGGATCTACAGCCGTCGCAATGGCTGACAGAGCCTCTTGGAAGCCTCACAACGCAAGGTTTCGTCCAAGATACAATGGCATACCTCGCTGAGTCCGGTGACTATCGCGGGACCATTTTGTCGCCATTGACGCCCGTGCAGTCGAATCGTCTCTCCAGGAGAATGGGACAGATCGAGATGGACAGATTCGTCCAAGCTTGTGCTAAGAAGTTACCAGAAGGCTCGTGCCTCGTCTCCGGGACGCTCTTCTTCCAAGACCCCAACACTGATGGAGTGCCGACAAACCTTCCGAGTCCACCACCACCTCACCGACAGATCTTCGCGTGACTTTAATACAAGGGGGATACAAGAAAATCATAAGTCGTTAGTAAAAGCAGATGTAGTGTACGTACGTCCATTAACTTCCAGGAATCAAAAATTGTTCTGAATAGTTTCCACAAGCCGTACTAAAACAATGTCAGCGTTCACCTTAATAAAATATCCATAAGAAAAAAAAATCTGGGCAACCGAGAAGTTGAACGTAATTTCGCATTCCTTGCAAACTCAAAATGCAGAGGGGGTAAATGTCCCCAGGATGATACATCGTTCCACACACTCAGACATTAAAGTGCACATGTTTCGCTGCAGCTGTATTGAGCAGTGGCTCAGCAAGAAAATCTTCATCGTCCATATTCGCTTTCGTTGCATAAGCCACTCGATCATAGTCATCGTCTTCTAGTTCATCATCGTCGTCATCAGTCTCGAAGTACATGGACATCAGTGACTCTCCATACGTTGGCGACAACAAAGGAGCCGAATTTGCAACGTTTTTGCTAGGTAGAGGGTTTTTTCCAGCGGGCAACGATATCGCCACTCCGATTCCAATAAAATAAATGATCGATGCCACCGCAAACGGAAGCGCTTGAGACCAGACAGATTGACGTGTCATAGAAGCATACAGCGAGGAGAAGATCACGGGCCCGAGCGCTTCAAAAATCGACCGCGCACCATAAATTGCGCCTTGCAAACGCCCTTGCTCCTAAAATTAAAAAAAAATTGGTTAGAATCAGGAAACATTTCTTTTCTGCAAAACAAATCTTAGACGAACCTTTTCCGACGCATTGATTGACTTGAGCGCCGAAATAGCTGGAAAGGAGAGATCACTGATGCAGCCGACGATGGTTAATGCATACACCAGCCACTTGCGGGGGTAATAGGCGATGGCGACAAAACCACATGTGCCTATCGTACTGGCAACTAGAGCGATGACAATCACTCCTTTCTCTTTGACGCAGCTCACTAAAGGTTTCAGTAGTAAAACCTGTCCGAGTAACGCTAAGATGCCACCAACAAGCATTAGGTTACCGAAATCTTTCACGTCAAACCCTACAATAGTCTACGGATCAAAACATTAATGGTTAGTTTTACGATTGTTGGTACAGTAAGAAGAAACTTACATTGAGGAAAAAAGATTGGATCTGGAAAACTCCGTTCATGACAAAAGCAGTCAGCGCGATCAAGCAGGTTAACCGCATAAACAATTGGTCTCGGAAGAGAATAGCCATAGAGCTGACTGGGTTCTCCACTACCCATCGGGTTTTACTCGTGTGTGTTCGAATCGGGAGCGTCTCGGGTAAAAGGAAAACTGCCCATACGACACGAAGTACAAAGAGAGCAGCCGCGATCTGGAGAATGTGTTCCTACAAATAAATGAATTTGTTAGAATTGCGAATGAATAGATACAGCGCCGATATAAACATTACCCTTGAAAAGAATGGCGCAGCGAAAGCGCTAATGCAAAAGCCTACAGAGAGACTCGCAAAGAGAACCCCGAACGCAGCAGCACGATCCTCAGGAGCGACTACATCCGCGACAGCAGCACTCATGACACCAGCCACTCTGAGCCATAGCAAAATTAATTCATATTTAAGCACGGATCGGAATATTTAGCTTACCCAAAGCCCGAGTCGACCAGCCTCAGCACGAAATACGGCGTAATGGAGCCATCTGGCTGCATGAAGTACATGACCGAGAACGGCACACCCAGTCTTAAGATCTGGTTCAGCACTAGAAAAGGCTAGATATATATCAGTCGTTGCACTCTCCACTCCAACATCAAATGTGGCCGAGACGAACCTTGCGTCCATAGATATCCGAAGCTTGACCTAGCATCGGCGACAGAATCAGGCTTCCCACACATCCTCCAGCCGAGAAAATACTAATAAAATAAGTTAAGATCAGTAATTAATCCAAATCATAGCTTATTGTGAAGTAGATACCTCGACAGCCAAGCAGCCTGGCGCGAACCAGCAACGCATGCCTATCGACATGAGAAAAAAGTTGGTAAATCAAACCCAAAAAGTCGAAGGCCAGAGCTATAATTTACAGCACCTCGTCGTGCGGATCGGCTCCGCAGTCAATAGGTAAGCCATCCCGATACAGTCTGGCAAAATACTGCAGATATTATGCTGTTATTACAAAATGTGATCGCTTCATGACACGTTGAGCCCTGCCCACCTCCGTCATAACAATCGATAATACTGGGCTCATGATACCGAATCCTGCGGCAGACAAAACTTGAAGCCCGACAATTGCACTTACAGAGCAGGTGACGCTCTGTTTCCGCTGCGGCTTGCGAGTCGTGGTGCTCCTGTCGCTCTCCATCACTGGTCAGATACTGATGGAATACCTGAGAACGAAAGTCATTTTGAAAACCTGTCTAAACCGTTATGCTCGATCAGTGAAATTTTACAAAATCCAAGAATTAGAGCAAATTTTATTCTTACATTTCCGGTGGTCATTTCAACATCTAGAATTTAGAAACTAGAATCTAGATACAGGTCGGCTTACACTGCAGTATGTGTTGTGCTTGAACTCTTTCCAAGCAAAGGTTCGGCTAGAAATTGGTCATCGTCAAGGATCGTACCGCCCGCATAGGCAATTTCATCGTCTTCCTCCGTCTCGACATCGTCGTCATCGGTTTCGAAGTAGAAAGCAGATGAAGACGGTGATTCACCGCAGGTTGGAGACGGCAACGGTTCTGGGGCTGCGGCGATTTTACTTGATGAAGAAGTTTTGCCAACTGGAAGTGACAGAGCAACGCCGATTCCCACAAAGTAGATGAAAGACGCGACCACGAACGGAAGCGCCTGGGACCAAAGAGACTCTCGAGTCATCGCAGCGTACAGCGAAGAAAAGATTATGGGGCCGAGCGCATCAAGTACCGACCGAGCACCGTAGATAGCACCTTGCAGACGTCCTTGTTCCTAGAAGTTAAAATATGGTTAGTTTTCGACTTTCAGGCAAGAAAATGGTCCACATCGCTTACCTTTTCGGACACGTTAATAGATTTGAGAGCTGAAATTGCTGGGAATGACAGATCGCCAAGGCTTCCCGGTACACTCGACGCGTAGACTACCCATTTGTCTGGATAGAACGCAGTTCCGGCAAAGCCAACTGTTCTCACGAAGGTAGCAATCATTGCGATGATAATAACTCCTTTCTCCTTGAAACAGCCCACCAGCGGCTTAAGTAGTAGACCTTGTCCCAATAGCGATAGCACACCTCCCAGCAGCATCAGATTACCGAAATCCTTCACGTTGAATCCCACAATCGTCTGTACATACCAAAACGGGTTAAGTCAGATAGTTACACAGTAATAGCGTTGATTCTACAGTGACTTACATTCAGATAAAACGACTGGATCTGGAACGTTCCGCTCATGACAAAGCTCGTAAGTGCGATCAAACACGTCAACCGCATGAATAATTGGTTGCGAAAGAGGATTGAAATTGAGCTGATGGGGCTCTCCATGACCCATCGCGTCTTGTTCAAAGTCGTTCGAACGGGTAGTGTTTCAGGCAAGATCACCAGTGCCCAAATGACTCGTGATACGAAGAGGCCAGCGGCAATCTGCAAGATGTGGTCCTATGGCCGGTAACTTCACGTTAGCAAGGATAGCGTGATCTTTACTAAATAAAATACAAATTACTCACTCGAGAGAAGAACGGCGCGATGAAGGCAGTCATACAATAACCAACAGACTGGCTGGCAAAAAGAATGCCAAAGGCCGCTGCTCGGTTTTCAGGCACGACAATATCAGCGACTGAGGCACTCATGACACCAGCCGTCCTGTAATAAAACGATGATAGTTAAGAAAAAATAAATCACTGTCAGTGATTATAGCTGCAGCTTACCCGAAGCCATAGTCGATCAGCCTCAAAACGAAGTATGGAGTAATAGAGCCGTCAGGTTGCATGAAGTACATGACGGAGAATGGCGTGCACACCCTTGCCAGCTGGCTCAGTACGAGAAATGGCTAGATATGCATAATAAAAAAAAATGAAGTTAGTATTTTGCACGCAACAGATTCTTCGGAAACGAACCTTGCGTCCATAGACATCTGAAGCTTGGCCCAGCATTGGTGCAAGGATGAAGTTGCAAACAGATCCCATAGCTGAGAACAGACTTTGCAAATCCACAATCCTTAGAACTTCATATAATCCACAGCTTCAAACCAAAGAGAATTACCTCGATAGCCAAGCAGCTTGCCGCGATCCGTCGACACACGCCTACATAACAATAAATAATAAATACAGTAGAAGCATCTCTGTAACTGTAAATAAAAAACGGCATTGGTCCTTCGCACCTCATCGTGTGGGTTCGCGCCGCAGTCAATTGCCAGTCCACCTCGGTATAGTCTGGCAAAGTACTGTTAAGAATGCACAAGAATTAGCACTCTGCACAGCAAAATTATAGAGACGAATGTGCCAAATCTACAGACCTCGGTCATGAGGATGTAGATGATGGGACTCATAAAGCCGAACGCCGCTTCGGTTAGAAACTGGAGCCCCACGATAGCACTGAACTTGCACGAGATACCGCGTCTCCGCTGGGGCTTGCAGGGCGTCGTGGCGCTGGTCGTAGTGTTCTCCATCTCTAAATGGAGATTCTCTACGCTGATATTCGCAGAGGATGATTATGGGATTTCTTCAACTAATCATCCAATCATTTACGAACATCGAAAACATACACAATCAACGAACTTCAAAACCCTAGAAAACGGACTATTTTACGAATAATTCCGTTTTGTTTGTGTTTGTGAGCAGCTTACGAATAATTCTTACACTTCCGTAAAGTAGCGTGTTGAAGTCAGCCTAGTTCCCAGCAATGGTTGTGTGAGGGATTGCTCGTCTTCCTCCGCTGTGTTGCTCGCAGAAATGATTTGATCGATCTTTCCACCTTCTTCCATCTCCGGTTCGCAGTTGTCGTTGTCTTCATCGTTCGAAGAGGCTGTTGATGCAGTGTCGCTTGGAATCGAGTCTCCTACAACTTTCAGCGAGAAAGCCAAGCCGACCCCGACAAGATAAATGACCGAAGCGATCACGAACGGGAACGCTTGGGACCATTGCGATTTCTTTGTCATGGCGGTGTACAGCAGAGAGAAAACGACTGGACCGATGGCTGCGAAGATCGACTGAGCAGCATAAATTGCACCTTGTAAGCGTCCTTGCTCCTGTAACGAGGTCACAAAACGAAAATATAGTATTAACGGTCTGTGAATTCGGATGATGAAAATGATCTAACGAACCTCTTCTGGGGTAGAGAACGACATCAGCGCCGAAATGGCTGGGAACGACAGCTGACTGACGCAATCTGGTACACTCAACATGTATACCAGCCACTTGTGCGGGTAAAATGCCGTGCCCACAATCCCGAGTGTACTCAAAAAGCTCCCGATCTGAGCCATAATGATCACCCCTTGCTCTTGAACACACTTCACCAGCGGATCGAGTAGCAGGCCCTGCCCTATAACTGCTAAAACGCCGTTAAACAGCATCAAATTGCCGAAATCCGTCATGTCGAACCCCACAACAGTCTGTAAAAGCAGAAATGCATCAATAAAAAAGAGGATAAGAAAATCCATGAGGACGTACATTCAGGTAGAATGTTTGAATCTGGAAGGTGCCTTCTGAAACAACACTCGTCAACGCGATTAAAATCGCTAGGGTGATGAACAATTTGCTGCGAAATAGGATGGAGATGGAGCTGAACGGGTTCTCAATTGTCCACCGAGAATTGCTCTTGTACGTTCGGGCAGGTAATGTCTCTGGAACAATCACCATTGCCCAGGCGACGCGAAGTATGAAGATACCGGCAGTAATTTGAAGGATAACGTCCTTCAGTATCACAAGTCAGAGTTAGAACTTAAGAATTATGTCGTTGAGGTAACAATAAGCAATGTACTAACGCGAGAGAAGAATGGAGCAACGAAAGCACTGGAACAATAGCCGACAACGACACTGGCTGAAAGTAAGCCAAACGCAGTCGCACGATAGTCAGGAGAGACGATGTCGGTGGCTGCAGCGTTTATGACACCACCCGTCCTGGAAAAGAAAACACAAAAAAGGTTACAACAATGCCTGTTAGACAGAATGAGCAAGAAGTCTTCATACTCAAAAGCATTGTCTATCAGCCTCAACACGAAATAAGGAATAATGGATCCTTGAGCCTGCATAAAATATGCGACGGAGAATGGCAAGCCAACTCTCGCAATTTGGCTCAAGACAAGAAAGCGCTGTAGCAAGATACGGAGTTAACAAACCGTCAATACAAACTTTTTTCCGTTAACCAACCTTGCGTCCATAGATATCTGAAGCTTGCCCAAGCATTGGAGACAGGAAAAAGCTGAGCACAGATCCGACTGCCAAGTAAATGCTGCCATAAAAATGCCATAATAAGCTAGTACACCAAGTAGTTTGAGCGTAAGGTTTTTCAATGTACCTCGATAGCCACGCAGCCTGCCTTGATCCATCAATACACGCCTAGTAACAGCTTAAACGGTCTGAAGCAGGTTTTAAAAATTCGATCAGGTTGTGTCCGTACCTGTTTATGCGGGTTGGCTCCACAGTCGATAGGCAAGCCATCGCGATAATGTCTGGCATAGTACTAGAACCTAGAGTTATTGTACGTTTATTGACAACTATCCAGCTGTCGTCAAATACCTCCGTCGTGACAATTGTAAGGATGGGGCTCATGAAGCCGAACGAGGCTTGAGCCAGAAACTGAAGCCCGACTATCGCAATGAATTTGCACGACATGCCTCGCTTCTGTGTAGGTTTGATCATATCAGCGCTATTTCTCTCCATCTCGACGGATTAAATACTGGTAGTCGCCAGAATGTCCAGATGCATGTTTTCGGATTATGGATACAGTATCCACACGATCCTACAGCGTCCAATAATCACGAAAACACAGGATAACAAGAACAATCCATGGCTTAACATTTGACTGGGATATCTAGCACTACAGGCGCATGACGAGGCTTCGTTAGCAGCGTACTACTCGCTGCATTCACGAACACAGTCTTCCCCACTCGAGTAGCTCCGTACGCTTCATGGATATGTCCAAAGATGTGGAAACTAGGTCGGATCCTCGACATCGTCTCCTTCAACAGTGTCTCGCTACCCACGTGCAATCCAGTAAACGTTGTGTCTAAAATTCCATGAGGTGGTCCATGCGTCACTAGCACATCGACATCGGCCGGGACTTTGGTCCAATGTTGCTGGTCCGCAAACCCTCGAGCCACATTGAACGCCCCTGCTCGTCCAGGGATCGGTGGAGTCATGGGAGATCCGTAAATCTTCACTCCATTAATGACAGTAGAGCGGTTCTCCAAGTACGTGCAGTTAGTTAGCAGTGCTCTGGAAAGACTGGGGTCGTTGTATACTTTATGACGGAATGCCTTGTTCCAATGCTGGTCGTACTCGACTGCGTCCATACAGACATCGTGGTTGCCTGCAATCACCACTTTATGTCGGTGGGGTAACGTGCCCAGCCAGTCATTGAAGTCGCGGATCTCGTCGTGGGTTCCGCGGTTCGTAAAATCTCCACAGTGTAGCAACACGTCCCCCTCTGGGATGTCCCGGAGATTGCGGTGCTTGGCGTGTGTGTCCGAGATGCAGACAACACGCAGTGTCCCTTTCTGTTGTGGGTTGCTGGATAAGGACTCGATCACCACGTCCGAGTTGCGTACCCAAGGGCTTGTCCAGCCCAGCACCCCCACTGCGTTTAAATAAACCCAGCGGAGAATTAGAAGTAGCAGCAAGAAGATTACGCTGAAGACTGTAAAGAAGCCGTAGAGGAAGTAGATGACGGTCAGAGTGGCTAGCAGCAGTATAGCGACGGCATAGCACACCGCAGCCACGATCTGCTCGGCCGATACGTCGTGCGGAATGCGCTTGAGCACTTGGTCGGTCAGCGTCATAGTCAAGTAAGCGTTCAAAGAGATTTTACTTTACGTAAATTAAATTTTTGCCATGTACTTCCACAAAACTTTAAATTACTGTCATTTTTGCTTTCGTAAACTCTCTTTTTGGCATACTAAATAAAAAGTACTTTGTATCGAAAAAGTTCGCAATGGTTTCGGACCACTTTTGATCTTTGAGCAGTCAAGGCAAGAACTTTTTTTCAGAAAAAATGCTCATAGCTTATTTCCCCACCCATAAAAAAGATCAAAAGCGGGCCGAAACCAATGCGCACTTTTTCGATACAAAGTACTTTTTTTGCCGTCTTAACTTGTAAGTCAAGATTCTGTCTGAACTTGGAGTTGTGTTAACTTTTGTAAAGTGTAAACAATAAATATTTTAATGAAAGCAGAAAAGTTAAATATTAATTTTCGAAATAAAGTAAGATTAAAATTTAAATTCCCGATGTATTGTTTCAATAATTGATTTTGCGCTGCCTATTTATTGGGGCTAGACTAGCCGCCAAAATTAATATTGCCAATGCTGCCGACTTGCCGCCTTTGAGGACGACGACGATGGTAGGCAACAAGCACAAGAACGGTCCCATCTACACGTTCCCGAATTGCAACAAGCCCATGCGCACTCAAAAGTTCAAGGGCGTACTTGAAGGATGGCGAGGTGTACTCGGTGGAACATCGGCGGCAGTACGAAGTGGCGAGGGAGGATAATGCTCGCGGCACCGTGAAGTCTGAGCTTGTTTCCGCGGTTGCTACAGCTCCGGAGACACCGCCGGTGATGTCTACAACGACGGCTATGGACGGTATTTCCTGTGTGGAGACCGTGTATCCTGCTGTTGCTGCACACGAGGATATCGATGGGGCGCAAGCGAGGCAGGTGCAAACAGAAGGCCCCGTTGTCCTCGAATCTAGAAGACGAAGTCACATGCGCCGTCAGGAATGAAAATGTTGCTACTAGTACGAGTGCACCACCCAGAACTATAAATATTACGTCCATTGCGCCGGCGTCTGCGCCGACTTCGCTGTCGAGCGAGCAAGTCAGCGGCACCAAGCGCCCGATAGCCGCGATAGAGAGCTCCTCCGGGGATACCGTTGACCCAACGTGCGTGCTGTTGATGCAGTTTATCGCGCTGATGGACCAGCGCTTCCAGGAGCTGGTAAGCAAGATGGGCGAAATGATCGACGTGCAGAAAGACCTGATCGACACATTACAGGCCAGCAACCCGGGCGGACAGGCACCGGCATCGGTCTCTCACACGCCGTCGAGGTGGTCATGAAAAAACGCAAGAAAGATACGAGCTCTCGCGGTGATAGTAACAGTGAGAATGGCAATGCCAACGCCAACCCCGACGCTAATGGTGAGGGTCAGGGCGACGGATTTGTCTTGTAGGCGGCATGATGACATCCAAAATTGAGTCCTAGCTAAGTATTGTTTCATTCGATTCGTCTTACATGGTGGTGCGTTCCCGAACTCGACCTTTACGTTGAAGTTAAAGTCAAAAATACGTCGCTGAATAACCGTCAGGCCATTTGAAGGACACTGGCCACCATGTCGGGAGCTGCCGATTCCAGCTCGTTGCCCCCGATTGCAGCTCCTCCTCCGCGTCAGCCGTCAGCCAAGACCCGTCGACCTTCTAGCAAACAGTTCTCGCGCAACATTCCAGGTAGTCCACATGCTTCTACTACAAGTTCCGATGGAGAAACTTTGCCTGAAAATGCAGTGCAAAGTGACGCATTGACAAACACTGGAGAGACTCTATCGGCCCAGCAACAGGAGAAAGTGCAGATTTGTACAACGTCGCCCGACCTCGAATTGTTATGTAGGGAAAATGGACTCTCAGCTCCGCAATTTGCACGAAATTGCGAAATGGTGACCTCATTGGACATGTTTCTGGGTTTCTGGACGTCTATGAAGAGCGTCATGTACTTTCCAGCGTTGAAAGAGCTCTCGATCATCAACCAGCCCACAATCTGCGAACTTGAAGGAGTCGAACACTGCAGAAATTTGGAAAAGTTGTGTGTTACAGAATGTGGGTTGACAAAAATTGCAAATCTGACAAATTGTACGAAATTGAAGCAACTGAATTTGAGTGCCAACAAAATTCGACGGCTGGAAAATCTGGACTTGCTTGTGAACTTGGAGACGCTATGGGTGAATCAGAACCAGTTAGAGAGGCTCGATGGTCTGTGGAGACTGACAAAATTGACTCAACTTTGGGCTTGTCGGAATCGTATTGATCGTATCGATACAGCGCTAAATTGCTGCGTGAATCTCACAGAGCTGAACCTTTCAGACAACAAGTTATCGAGTTTCAAAGGGTTACTATCGCTCATGAATCTGGACCAACTTACTGTTCTTATACTTAGTGATCCTCACTTTGGCGACAATCCAGTGTGTCGATTGTGCAATTATCAAACGTACTTGATGTGTCAGCTTCCTCGCTTGAATTTTCTCGATACTGTCGAGCTATCTGCGCGCAACAAACAGATCGCTGAAGCAACTATGATCAAGAAAAAAATGTACTACAACATGCGGATCAAGACTATAAAACGCGACGTACATAGTCGAGTCCGACATGCCGAGAATATCCGGAACCAGGCTGAACATCACATGGAAACGAGTGTGGCAGCTTTGGTGCGGCAGAAGAAAGAGATCGAGCGTTTCTTGATCGAGAAGAATGAAACAGTATCGCAAGATATGATAGACAAATTGGAGAAGAAGCTGGAATGTATAAACTCTTGTCTCCGAGATCGGTACACTGCGGTGTATCGCATGGATCAAGATTTTGACCGTCTGAGAATTAGTCTAAGATGCACATCTGAGATGAATATTGCGCGTTTGATGCTGGAGTTGGAGACTGGAGGCAATATTCGACTTGAGGATGGGAAACCTACTGACGCTTGGTTTGGATCTTGCGTAGAGCTCGTTCGTTCTCGATTATATCTACCAGACTTGCAAAAATTCGGTATCAATGATATTCGAATTAATCGAGTTACAAGAATCAATAACCGATTTTTACGAAATCGCTTTCAAGCTCGAATGGAAGAAGTGCTCGTAGCTCCAGATAAGAAAGTAAAGGATAATGTATCGAAGAAGGGAGTGACAGTGCCCAATAATGACGTGGAAGGGGAACGAGATAGTGAAAATACAAGTGAGCGAAATGTTCAGCAAGAACAAGGTCAGTCTCCCAGTTCAACACTAGAAACTTCAATGGAATATTTATTCTACGCTCAGTCAATGTCGCTTGATGACCAATTAATGCGCAGTCCTGTAGATTCCGAGCAATTGTTCATCGCAGAGAATGGATTTTGTGGGTTTTCGGGAGTTAGTCCAACCGATTTTGGCGCTGCAATCAAGCTTTCCAACTCAGTTGCACTACTGGATACATCACGAATCACTGCTACTCTTATTTCTAAGGGCCAACAAGTACAAGGCAACGGCGATACTCAAGCAAGTCAGTTAAATTTGACCCAAGACATGAAGAGAGCAATGCAGCTTGTTGCATCTGGTGAATGGGATCTACCCAGTGGAGTTCTACTCGTTGCAAAAGTATTCCCGGGATACACGAAATGTATCAGCAATGTGGATGTCACGCTCGCAAAAGCCTCTGGGTCCGGTAAGGAAAAAGATGTTACTGGAATTCAAAGCCTACAAGTAATACATGGAGGTACTGCGACAACAACTGATGGGGCAGTAAACAAGCAGAAGGTGTACTACGTGTTTGATGGTGCGTTGGTTCTTCCCGAGTACTTTGTGGAGTATCAGTATGTTTTCAATAATGATGTCCCTGGATCATCGGTAAGTAATGTTTCGCCAGAGCTTCGACCAACTAAATCGCCAAGAATTATCCACGACAATGACGAAGATATTGTTAATCTTGGTGTGGTTTCCAATCAAGTTGACACTTTTGAGCGGAAATACCGTATCCGCCGCTCCCCAAGTCCACAATCGTCTGAGAACAGCGTATATTCCAGTACAGATGAAAGTATCGTGCGCTTGCTTCAAATGGAACCCCTGTTATCTGGAATTGAAGCGACATCTTCTGTATCAGTTCGGTCTTCTACTAATCGCATTAAATATCTAAGCTTGCTTGGATGTGAACTAGAAGCGGTTCCAGATTTGTCGTATTTGAACGATCATCTCGAAGTTCTGGTGCTAAGTTACAACAAGATCCAAGGAACGGGTAACCTTGAAAGTCTCTCAAAATTGATCACATTGGACTTGTCTTACAACCAAATTACACATTTGGAACATCTGCAGAATCTGCGCGATCTAGAAAATCTAGAAGTAACACACAACTTGATCCGGTCTTTTGACGATGTGAAGCTCATTGGACAAGCACTAGGAAAACTTTCCCTCAAGCAGTTAGACCTTCGAAAGAACGGGATTTGCGAGTCCAAGCGCTACAGATTTCACGTGCTTCAATATTTACCGCAACTCGCTCAACTTGATCAACAATCGGTATCTCAAGAAGAAATACTCACTGCTCAACGATTGATAACCAAGCTTTCCGCGTCAAAAGTTTGGGTGCTTCACTGCCAAAAAACGCGTTGTAATGCTCCGTTATCTTCCATCGAAGCACCTAATTCGCAGTCAATAGACCATCCGGAATCCAACAATGACGGGGATATAATAGCGGAATGGAGTTCAGTGGAAGAACTTGTTCTAAATCATGAATTACTGGGGTCAATTGAGGGTCTGTCAAAGGCTGTAAATCTACGCGTAGCGTCTTTTTCGGACAACGCTATTAAACGTATTGACGGTTTACAGGCGTGTACGAGACTTGAAGAGCTCTATTTGGACGACAATGAGATCAAGCAGATCGAGAACCTGGGCCAGCTTTCATTTTTAAAAAAACTACATCTTGGTCGCAATAAGTTGTCCGTCATTCAGCACCTGGACTCACTGGAGAACCTTATCCAGCTGTCATTAGAAGAGAACCAGATCTCCAGTTTAAGAGGTCTGGGGTCGGCGTTAAAGCTGATGGAACTTTACTTAGCCAACAACCAAATCGAGAATTTAAAGGAGATCCAACACCTGAAATCTCTACCCAAACTAACGATTCTCGACTTGTCCGGCAACGAAATAACGCGTCTATCGGATTATCGTCTTTATACTGTTTTCTACCTCAGACGTGTTAAGGTGTTAGACGGTGTAAGTGTTTCGACGCAAGATCAAAGCAACGCGAAGCAAAAATACAGCGGAAAGTTAACGTTTGAGCTCATTCTGGAGAAATGTGGAGGCGGTGGCTGTGTGACGCCCACTGGATCAGCAGAAAGTCAGTTTGGTCGAATTTTTGACATGGACGTCTCATCGTGTCGACTACGAGAGATCGGGCGGATTTCGGGAGATATTTTCTCTAATTTGCGCGAGATTAACCTCGAAAACAACCAGATCAGTGATATTTCGGGTCTTGAGGTGCTACCCAGACTGCGAATTCTCAATCTTAATCGTAACAAGATCGAGAGACTCGTGTCGTCCAGCTCGTCATCGGATTATACAATGCCAGATTCGTGCGATGGTGGGGGGAAAGGAATCTTAGCTTGTCTCCATCTCGAACAATTGCATCTTGCTTACAATTTGATCACGGATATGACGACACTGGGGCTGCAGTTTTTAGACTCTTTAAAGGTGAATTGTGATGTGCAGAATCAATGGGATCGAAACGCGTCTAAACTGATTTTTACTTGTTATGTTGTAGGTACTTCACCTGCAAGGTAACGCAATCCTATACTTTGCAGGGTTAGACTGCAACACGGAGCTAGTGGATATCCGTCTGGATAAGAATCGCATACGACAACTAGATCCACATTCGACTCTCGCATTACGGCACGTTAAGTCCCTGAACCTAGAAGACAATGGTCTTAAGTCACTGTCGAATTTCAACAACATGATTAGCTTAGAGGTAAGTGCCCCTCATGTTTTTAATTCCAGGATTGACTAACAAAACGTTTTACTTGCAGACTCTGGAGTTATCCAACAATCGACTCATCGATTTAGAGGAAGTGGAGAAGCTTGCCTCGCTGCCTTCGATGGTGAACCTGAGGATGGTCAACAACCCTTTGACCAAGAAGCACCTGTATCGACAGCATGTGTTGTATAAACTCAACTCGCTCAAGACATTAGACGGTAAAGACGTTTACAGCGACGAGAAAGAACGGATCGAGATGCTTTTTGCAGCTGCTGCAGCTTCAGCGACTGCATCTGAGAGGGGGATGGAGAACCGTCCAGTATATCCGACTCAACTTGTGTTGACTCCATCGAGTATTCCGACTAAAGGCTCATCTTCTGTTGGTATTCCTCAACCTATCGAAGTGTTAACCGGTTCACACCTTCGAAAGACAAATAGTCCGCTATTTTCACATGGACAAATGCCGGTCTTGGCGCCGACATTCCCACTACCAGAACATGAAGTAGATCTCTCGATCACGGTTGGGTCATCCAATACGACTACCCGTTCACTGTCACTCAATTCCTATCGACACAATTCGTTAGGAAGTCAATCCAGTTGGCAAGTTGGTGCCATCAATCCAGCATCGAGCTTACCGTCTGCATCCACAGCCACAGTGGCGTCAGTATTCGGTGCGAATCTATCCAAAAGCGTCGGTGGATCAGGGAATGATCAATTGTACGCTGGCGGCGGCATACGAAGACGGATAACAAGCGTACATTATGATCAGCAAAGTGGTGAGTATGGATGTTTTCCATCGAATTTTTCAGTGTTTTTTTTTTTTACTAACCAGACAGTTTAGTTTCTCCTTCTCTTCAGGTGAGTGGCAAATTTGGCGAAACGAAGCTCCCTGTTGGCATTGTGTCGTCCCAAGCTGTCGGTCGGAGTCCTGCAGCGACGATGAGAAGAGGTATACTTTATAATATTCGCTATGATACACAAACTCAGAACCTGGTTAACAAATTGTTTGATGTCTTTACAGCAGGTTTCAACATGCAGCCTTCGTCTGCAGATTCGCTAGAAAACGTGCTGCCAGCTAGTTCTATCCCTTCCAGCAGCAACGACGCTAGCAACAATGCTGGCAGGAGCTTTTCCGGATATGTGGTGACATTCGGCAACCAGAAACGCTATCCCAGCTACCCGGAAACTACGATTCCTTACCTCTCCACTAAACTACAACAGCAAGGTAGACGCAGCAGCGAGAGACGATAACCAGAACGCAATGTAAAGTAGACCAACATATTCAAAGGATAATGTATTGATTCGACTCTAATCTTCCTGGCTATTGCTGCGCTTGTCTGTTTGCCTTCAGTAGGATCAATTGGAATTATAAAAAGTTTTCATCAACCTTGATCAGGAGAGAACTGGTCATCATCGGCAAACAGACAAGCTACTATACACTACATGCAAAGGGCTCACAGGAGCTTTACCTGGAAGCTTGGACTGGTACTGAGTTCTTGGACGGAAAAGCCTCAGACTGACGTGCAAATATCAGAGAGATTGTTGTCCACCATCGAATCGTTGGATATTGCGAGTTTTGCTTCACTGGCCTCCGTCCCTTTGCACCCGATTCCAGTCCAAGCTCCAGGTCTGCGTAAGACAGAGAAGACAGAAGTAAACTCACACCCACACATTATCTTCTGGGAAGGCACTCCCAAGTTAGAAGAGTGTATTACAATGGCTCAACCCCAAAGGGAGCAGCAGGGAAAACAGCATATCAAATATGACGTTCACCTGCCTTGCAGTGCACCTTTCAAACAGCTTACTTAAGCGGGATGAAACGCGACGAGTTCGTGGCGCCGATACCGGGGCGACCGTGGGTCACCGGCTTGTAAGAGATGGCGAACTCACCCAGGTAGTGGCCGATCATCTCGGGCTGTCACAAAGCACAAATAAAAGACGTTAGTCCGCCACAATTCATATTCCCGTCAAATCGACAGGGTCATTACAAATTATAAAATATGAAAGCTCCCTGGGTCGCCCCATACACAGAACGTCGGAGGGGGTGGCAGCCGGGTGGACTTTCGGTACTATCAAATATGACAGACCAGTTTCCACCACTCTTCGGGTAATAAGCCACGCACCCCCCGAGAGCCGCGAACAGTTCTGGAGACATACCTTGATTTCAATGCCGTTGAACTCCTTGCCGTTGTACACGCCGACCACCGAGCCGATCATCTCGGGGACGATGATCATGTTACGCAGGTGGGTCTTGATGCCCTCGGGGCGCTCCATGGGCTTGGCAGCAGCCTTGGCCTTGCGAAGACGCTTGATCAGAGCCATCGGCTTACGCTTGAGGCCGCGCGAGAAGCGACGGCGAGCACGAGCGTTCACCAGCTCCATGAGCTCCTCATGGTTCAGGTCGAGGAGCTTGTCCAGGTCCACACCACGGTAGCTGAACTTGCGGAACGTGCGCTTCTTGCGCAGGGCAGCGAGCTCAAGGTTCTTCTCCTCCACGGATTGGTCAGCCATTGTTTCCAGTAATACCAGTGTGGCAAGGTGAGGCGCTGCTTCCAACGACGTGCTTATCGACTGGCGCACAGCCAATCGCCTTACCATTGGCTGAAAATGTGGGAGATTTTACGCCTAATGCGTAATTACAGATTGTTTTTACGAACAGTAACATGATATAATTGCAGCTAGCTGTTAGACGTGCTTGATCAAGGTTTGACGACCAAGCGCTGGAGTAGTGATGGTGTATGTGGACTTGAACGTGCGCGCGACGGCGAGGGTGTCGGCTGGCGAGCTGCAGCGATGTATGTCGAGAGAATTGTGGACTGTCATTGAATGGAAATGGTGTATTGAATCGGAGACTAATTGCGTTTGCTACCGGTACGAAATTGCTGTTAGTGGGCTACGCGACGGTCTGTGTCAATGTGGATTGCGAAGGAAACGAGAAGCCCAAGCCAGTGACAGCGCTACCAGATCTGCCGCAAACGGCACAAAAGGACAAGAGCAGTAAGGTTACAAAGAAGGCGAAGCTCTATACGGCAGCGCTGAGCAACGGGCTACACCTGAAGGATGCGACCTCGACTGACAAAACGCAGTCCAGACAACGCAAGCGCATCACACTGAAGCTGGAGGAAGTGGCGGACGCGCAGAAGCTGGTAAGAAATGCGCCGATGTGGTAGATGTGGACAGAAGCTCACCTTTTTTTTTTTTTTGCTTGTTGCAGACTGCATCGGATGTAGTGAAGGGATACGACATCGTGGCAGCCGAAGCGGCGACACCCAAGGTGTTCCAGTTCCTGTGCGAGCAGGCCGACATTGACCTGATCACGTTCGACGTCACGAACCGATTGCCATTCCAGATCAAGCGGCCATTGGTGCGTGCGTACAGCTCTGTGTGTACGGCGTTCCTGTACTAACCTTGAATGGTCTGTAGATTGCTGCCGCCATGAAGCGTGACATCTACTTTGAGATCACATACACACCGTGCCTCGGTGATACCGCTGGACGACGATACTTTTTCTCCAACGCCAGCAACCTCGTCCGCCTCACAGGTGGCAAGAACCTGGTGTTCGCCAGTGGTGCTACTCGCGACATTCTGTTGCGTTCACCCTACGACGTCATTAACATCGGGCTCTTGTCCGGACTAAAATATGGTCAAGCTCTAGATGCAATTTCCACATCGTGTCTGGCGGTGCTGGAGCACGCAGACAAGCGCAGAGGGATCATAGGAGGCGTGCAGGTGGAAGCCACCGAGGATGTAGCCATGGAATAAACTTATCCTGTTGGCTTAGCGTCTATGATTGTTCCATTGCCTCCGCAGAGTCGTCTTCGTCCTGTGTCTTCTGTTCCCTTGTAGTCTCGTCGGGCTCCTGTTCGGTATTGGCTTCACCCTGCATAGCTTCATCAGGTGATCCCTTCTCCTCTGTGTCTTCATCGGCATTCCCGCCGTTCTCAGCATCCGATGGCTCATCAACCGACATCATGCCTTCATCTTCACCGCCGTCCTCCTCGTTCGTGTCAATTGCAACTTCATCTAGCTGCTCTGCGACTTCGTTTGTAGTCTCTCCACCTTCCTCCTCTTCAACCATACTTTTCTGGTTCTTCTTCCGACTCGCAGCAGCTTTTGCCTCTGTAGCAGCAATAACAGTAAGCAAGTGACTCAATTTCCTTCCTCTATAGGCTACCTGACCTTGCAGACACGCCTCAACAGGTTCGATAAAGTGCTCAAAGTCTGCGTCTCGAAGAGTCTGCAGCACGTCCTTCAATGTGATGGTGCTGCGTTTGTTAGCCACCGACGTATCGTGTGCACTGCGGTAACAATTGACTATCAGTTACCAGATCCACCAAAGGCAACTATGCTCCAACTGACGTACATGGACGCCAAATACAGTGTAAACATGCTGGCCGCAGAGTTCAACGTCTGTCGGGCATCCTTGGTCAATATCGCGCGTTCTGGTAGCGCCTTCTTCACAGCGCGAGCCGTCAAACTTGCCGCATGCTCGTGCTCCATGTTGCTTCGAGTTTTTTGGCGGGAAATGTCAAGGACTAAAATGTGTGCGACCCATTTTACTTTTCACAAGTAATCCCTTGGACTATTTTGTGTAGCCATTTCTAACGCTGTCAAATTGCTGGTAATGAGCGAGGTGGGCGAAGAGGAGCTTGCCGCGTGCATTGCTACGCTGCAGAAGCTCCATGGAGAGGAAGCTCACCAGTTGTTCCAGTCATCTCCGCGCTTTAAGCCACTGCGGACGGCGCTGATCCCTCTCATTGCAGATCTGCGCGCCAAATTCTTCCATGGGAACTCAGCAGCAAGTGACAACTCGCGCCAGGAGCGCAAGAGAGCCAAGAAGGTGGAGAGAGCAAGGCAGAAAGCTCTGGATCAGCAGTACGTGAACAACACTAAGCTGCGCGCAGAGCGAATCGCGCGGTTGGCAGCGTTGCAGGCGCAGAACCCGTTGCTAGCCAATGTACCCGACGGTGTCGCGGCTGCTGATGAACCGATGCTCCTGAAGGAGAACGGAGAAGAGGAGAAGAAGAAAGAAGAGAGAGAAACGGAGCAATTGCATTACCACCGTGCATGCTACACGTGCAAGGTCAAGTTCCGTAAGCTGCATCACTTCTACGATCGGCTGTGTCCATCCTGTGCCGAACTCAATTACAAGAAGCGTCTGCAGAATGCCGATCTGCGCGGACATATCGCAGTTGTCACGGGTGCGAGAGTGAAGATTGGCTACGAGATTGCACTGAAATTGCTGCGTAGTGGAGCGACGGTGGTGGCCACGACGCGGTTCCCCAAGGATGCAGCGTTCCGGTATGCGAAGGAGAAGGATTTTGAAGTCTGGAAGGAGCGACTGCAGATTTACGGCATGGACTTTCGTGACCTGGGCGTGATCGACAAGTTTATGGACCATATTGAGGAGACCTGTGGGAGTCTCGACATCTTGATTAACAACGCGACTCAGACGATTCGACGACCAGTGCACTACTACAAGCACCTGATCGAGTGCGAGGTGGCACCGGTACCGGAAGAAATGGCTAAGGTCAACCAAATTCTTCGGGGTAACGCAAACCTTCTTGGTAGTTCCCCAACGGACGTCGAGAGTGAGAGCGTTTCTGTCAATGGTGCTGCAATCGTTAGCACCAGTGGAGGCTCATCGACGGCGATCTCCACTGCTACTGCATCGGCGTCTGCATCCGTGCACCTTTCGCAGATGCCACTTGTTGCTGAAGACCAACATTCCGCAGAGACGGAAACCTTGTTTCCAAAGGGTCAAGTGGATAACAACCAGCAGCAGGTGGATCTCCGCACATCGAACTCATGGGTCAAAAAAATCAACCAGATCGAAACCATGGGTAGGTTGGAATGCCGGGTTCTGGAGTTGCTTTTAGTACTCATTTTTATGCTATTTATTTGCAGAGCTGGTGGAAGTGTTCGCGATCAATACGATGGCCCCGTTCATCCTCAATAAACGTGCCATCCCTCTTCTCGAAAAGGTACCGGAGACTTATAAGTTGTGTACCCCTTGATATTGCTTCTCACTGCTGTATGTGTCTGCTTTTCACGCTTAAGAGCTCGAACGAACGCCGCTTTATCATTAATGTCAGTGCGATGGAAGGCAAGTTCTACCGCAGCAAGACACCGAACCATCCGCATACGAACATGGCCAAGGCTGCGGCGAACATGATGACGAGAACGTGTGCTGAAGATCTTGCCAAGAAAGGCATTTACATGTCCAGTGTTGACACGGTAAGAACATTTCCTTTACTTTGGCTTGCGTTATGAAGGCTAATTTACTCTGCTTCCGCCAGGGCTGGATTAACGACGAGAACCCGCGAGACGTGGCTGTTCGCATTGCTGACACTCACAACTTCCAGACGCCACTAGACGAGGTCGACGCTGCTGCTCGTGTGCTTGACCCGATTTTTGCTCTGTATCAACAAGGCAACACGGACAAACCGCTATATGGTCAGTTCCTCAAGGACTACGCAGTCTCCGAGTGGTAAATTGTTTTGCCTCATTAGAACGATTAGTCGTTGGTAACCAGGGGGATAGAATTCATTATCCAAACGTGTGGTGCAAATGTGAACAACGTGGCGTACATACTGTCTCCCTTCAGTCCTCAATAGAAAACCCGCCGGTTTGGTGGCAGTGGAGGGCTGGTGCGTACATGTTCGATCCCAAAAGCCGGCTCCTGGCGAACAAAAACAGCAGCGAGACAGCTGCCGGCATCGAGTTTGGCCATGCATGACTGGACGAACGAGTCGTCCTCAAGATGGCCGAGGCGTTTGGAGATGTTGAAGTTTTGCTGCAACGTGTTCGGGGCCAAGTCGTTCTCCCGGGCCTGGCCACCAGCGACCTCTGCTAGACATGCCATCACGTCGCTCTTGAACACTTGCTCAGTGATTTGGCCTCGAGGTTGGGACAACCAAACGGGGAGCTTCTCGTCGGTCTTGCAGGCGTTGGCGGCTTTGACGAAATCTCTCACGCTCTTGATGTTCCACTGCAATGTCACTCCGAACACGATCGTTTCGACGATGGATTCCTGCATTTTAAGAGGTCAGTTTGGTTATTGGCTGCATTTGCATTCTCGCGGTCGTACCGCAAGCAGCGCAGTCTCGTTGATGGTCCAGTTCTCGTAGCCTGTGGGCACTTCACCGGGACGTCGCATCGGCTCCATTGTTACGGTGCTTGTTGTCGAGAAAGTAATTTTGAAACTGAGGAATTCGCAGCGTCCGCTGCTATCGGCAGGGTTTATAATGGAAGGACATAAAGTTGCGATTGAAGCGACGTCTCGGTGAGATGGACACAAGCAGTCATCGGTAAAAGCATTAAAAAAAAAAAAAACTTTAGAGTCTGATTTGAATTTAATGCCACTGGGAATCGAAGAGGTTAAAGTTCACCACCCTTCGTGTCGGGTTCATTGCGTTCTACATGGCATCAACCATTGGCGCTGAGCTTTCGCGCACCTCGTCGTCTGCCTTTGCTGTTGACTGCTCCACCGCCACCATTGAATCTACTGTTTCTTTTCCGGCTGTGTTTGCTGTCTCGCTTGTTTCTGCCTCCTCGGATGGCTGCATTGAAGAGGGAGTAGCTACATTGGGCACTTTGGTCGTGTCTTCGGAGTCTACGGGCCCCTCCTTCTCGATCTCTGGTTTCTCATTCTGCACCTCCGTTGCCCGCAGCTTCTCGTCTAGTTGCACAATCTTGTCAAGGATCACAGTCCGGCCGCTCCAGGCCCAGGTCTCTCGCACTTTCAGAGTTACCGTGCCGTCTTCATCCGCTGCAGCGCGCGAGAGCACTTGGCGGTCTCGAAGCCACCACTTGCCACGTCGGGCTCCTACTGCAGCGTGTTGCACGTAGATGCGCGGCTCCTTTGAGGATGGAGCAGCCTTCTTGTCGCCACCTAGCCGCTTCGGCATGGAGCTCTCGTCACACTGAGTTGCCCCTTGCTCGGGCTTGCGCTCCTGCCTGGGATCACTACTGTCGTCGCCCTGGACAGGAGCATTCTTCTTACGCTCCTGCTCCAGCTGCAGCCTCAGCGCTTCCAGCTCGCGCTTGAGCGTCGTCACCTCGTCGTCGGCCATGTGAAAGGTTGCGTTGGATGTAGCCATCTGTGATCGAAGCGACGTTGAAGGACCATCACTCTGGTCGTTGAACCTATGGAAGGTAGTCTTGCATGTTCTTTTATCCCTCGTCCTCAAGGGCAAGGTGCTGGATGCGAGTGCTTTAGCAATGCCAATAGCTCAAGAAGACATGCGGACTGCCGATGTGTCGTTAATTATGTGTTGAGTATTGTATGTAGGATGAAAGGGTCCTCATCATGACAGCGAATACATCGATGTGTAAAACAGATTCATAAGTTACGACTTCTAACGGGCAGCGAGCGGCAAACAGTGACGATCACATACGTATGAGCGAACAAAACCGCAGACTAACCAAGTAAACACGTCGATTTACAGTCCGCCCTTACTCTAGACTAGAGTCTCTAGCAGAGAACGTGTTCGCGATATCATACAGAAATGCAGACCACTCCCGTGCCTCGTAATGCCTGACGCGAGGGTAGTAGGCCTGATGATTGCTCACACTGGTTGCCCTGTCACAGCCGGCGTACAGGGTATACACCGCTCGACTGGTGGACCCGTCGGCATCAATCACACATGGCAGTCGACGGCGTGGAGTTTCGATGCTGTTACCACAGACACCATGCCTAAGAAAGCTGAATAACACTGAAAGAAAAACGCATTACATGTATTCCGTATTCATAGTGGCCAATGCTGTGGGCTCAACCATGGCAACACTTTGAAAAGCCAAACTTGCTTGTTTTGAAAAAAAAAAAAAGAAGGGCGTTTACCTGTCAAATCGGATTCATCATTTATCATTTTCGGGTCTTGAAGAGATCTGTAGGCAGATCACTCGCAGTACAGAATCTGCCGACGAGAGGATTCAGTTGGCGCGTTCCAAGCACATACCGAGATTCAATGGGCGCTGCGCAGTCGTGGTGCTGCGGAGTGAAAGGTCGGGATGAACTGCAGCCGGGCAAGAGGCGGCCCAACGGCTTCAAGCATGACCGGGACATGCACGCTGTCAGGTCTCCGCATGTGACGTCAGCGCCGCAGGTACCGGCACATGCACTTGGAAAATGGGCAATACTCGTAGCTTGAACTGCTGACGGACTGACTGTTTTGTGATGTTGCTCCATTCATCAGCCTATCAAGTTGCTGGGTCCGTCCTACAGCAGCGGGAGCATGGAATCCAAGTACGAGATGCTGGACGAGATTGGTGCGTCGTTGTGGCTGCTAATAGAAAGATCATGGACGTTTCTCTGATGTTGTTGTGTGGATATTAACAGGACACGGAGGCACCTCGGTCGTATACAAGTGTTGCGAACGACGCACAGGAGTTGTACGCGCTTGCAAGATCATTGACCGACGCGCTGTCGAGCGAGAGCATAACGTCGTGATGGAGCAATTCCAAGTGAGTTATGGATTTATGGTATTAACGGCGTGTTGGTTTGCTAACGTTTCTGGTGATGACGAAGGTTGAGATCCAAGTACTGCAGTCGCTAAAGCACCCGAACATCATTCACATTGAAGACGTCTTCCTGTCCGAATCGAAGATCTGCATGGTGCGTATTTGTATACCAAAGAACGAACGTGTTACACAGTATTCAATGTTGGATGCATTATTCCAGGTCACGGAATATATGGGTGGTGGCGAGCTGTTTGACTATGTCGTCGATAGGGGGACGCTGTCGGAAGTGGAAGCGAGCACCATTGTCCGTCAGATCACGTCGGCTGTCGCCTACTTGCACGCACGTGGAATTATTCATCGCGACCTCAAGCCAGGTGCGTATGTGATAATGTTTGCTGTTGCAGCTATCGATATTAACATTTTTTCATTGCAAAAGAAAACTTGATGCTGACGAGCAAGTCGCGTGGGGCCTCCGTGAAAATCATCGACTTCGGGCTGGCAAAGTTACTGGACGCAGACGACAAGACGGCCTCCTTTTTGGGAACTAGAGGATATCTCGCGCCGGAAATGCTACAACGTCAAGCATATTCCATGTCTGTGGATATGTGGGCGTTAGGGATCATCGTGTATGTCTTGCTCTGCGGTTGCCTGCCTTTCGACGATGATGGCGGCAAGATCGCCAACGAAAAGGCCGCTCGGGTACGTGGCAGATGCTCCGGATACGGATTCATAGTCGCCGATTGCTTACGGAGTTGTGTATAGGCAAAGTTTGGCCTCCGCTTTCCCCGCTGGGCCAGTGGCTTGTCCGAGAGCGCAAAGGATCTACTCCGCAATTTGTTGGGTAGGCACAAGAACCACACTGATCACTCGTTTTGCTTCGTATCTTAACTGCTTATGTGCGCTTATGACAGAGGTGGACTCGACCAACCGGTTCACGGCAGAGCAGGCGTTGGCACATCCGTGGGTCACAGGTGCTCGCACGCCCAACAAGTACCTCAAGTCTCCCAACTACCTGCGCTCTATCAAGCAGGAAAAAGTGAGCCAGAAGATGAATGGCCGCATGCCACACGCAAACGGCAACAGTGTCGAAGTCTGCAATGGCAATGGACCGACGATCAGCGTGCGGAGACAGTCGCGTTGATCTCCGCTAAGCATAGCGATGTAAAGTGTATTTTTGCCCAATTTGAAGTGCCTTTTGATCTGAATGTCGCTTGAACGCACATCACGTTCAGACAACCTTCGCGCTACCTCATCTCACCCAATGCGCACTTGGTCTGCTCATTTGCTCATTTGCTCGCCGAGACCGCACGCGTCGCCGCCCAAGAAGCAGCTGCTCTTCTCTGCCTACGCAAAGTGCCTCGTAGGAAAGAAGAGATCCGTGTTCTCCCCGTCGCGCAGATCCGGTGTGATTTGGCGCTCTGTGAGACGCGTACGAGGCTTGTATAGTTGAAGTATCCCTCGTTCCTTGTCTTAATCCGTACAAGATGCGGCGCTCCACGCGTCTAGAAGCCGCGTCGGGCGCACGCGCTCCACGGATGTCCAAATTAATCGCACAACACGCGCAACGCGTGCGTCAGGTCCGTTTTAAAGCACCCTAGCGCCTCAAAGGCCGCAGTAGACGTAGCATTTTAGAGAGAAGACGCTTCGTTCTGACCGGGTCTTTGCTTGCTCTGGCCGTAGGGCGCAGACGAGTCCGAGGACGAGTGGAAACCCGACGCAGAAGAGGACGGAGACACTAGTGAACAAGCTGAAGAGCTCTCGGACTCTGCGTCCTCCGAGGAAGAACTGGCCAAGCGCCGAATTCGAGTCAATAAGCGGAAAGTCATCGACAGTGACGACTCGGACCAGGACAAGAAGCCCAGACGAGCCAAAATGAAGATGAAGAAGGTTAAACGCACGACCAAAATGCTGGAAACTCCACCGCCGCCTCCTGTTAAGATAAAGCAGACAGCAGCCCAAGCAGTGAAGAAAGTTGCAGCTGCAGCCAAGATAGAAACCAAACGGAATGGAAATGCGTCGTTCCCAATGAAGGACGAAGCTCCAGATGCTCACCGACGACCTGTGAAGCAGCAGAAACGCGCCAATATGCAAGTAAACTCCGATCGAAGACAAGCCACAGTCTCGTACAGCGGCGTGCCGTCGAATCACACGTTGGACAACTTTTTCGACGAGATTTTGGAGTGGAAATTCTACGAGGCGTTGAGAAGAGAAGTACAGGGCAGTCACTCGCTCAATATAGCGAACGATGGGTCCGAGGAAGGCGAAGTGGAGGTAGAAGTCGAGAAGGTACCGAGCAAGTTTCGCTCGTATGAACACTATTTCTCGGTCTGGAAGCCTTTGGCGCTGGAGGAAGTGCAGGCCCAGACGATTAATGCCGTGACGACGGACCGTCCCAACCCGATCCCAGTGACTGTGAAAGGCTTTGGAGCGACGTTTATTTCTAAGAGCTGCAAGATCCGGGTGGACCCGAAGAAGCAGAATATCCCTGGTATGCGACGCAAGGGTGGCTGGGATCACCTCAACGAACTGTTTATGAATGATTTAGTATTGATTTCGCCCGACCAAGACTACTTTCGTAAGGCTCTGGCATCGTCTAAAGGCGTAAAGATCGAAGCAAACGGCGAAGATGCACAGGACACCTCATCTGTAGGGTTTTTGGCCATTGTGGCGACCCAGAGAGCGTCGAAAGAGGGATTAACTATGACGATATTGAGATCGGGATTGGGAGCGCTGGAGAAGGAGGAGAACATCTATCTCTTTAAGCTCAACAACCTTATTACCAGTGTCCGAGAATTCCGAGCGCTTTGCGATTGCAGTCATTACGGTCTGCTGCCGTTGCTGTTGTCTGGTGAACACAAGCAAGGGACTATGCAGCTGGACTCGCTGGGTCTGAAGTATGTCCAGTGGCTTTCGAGAACTTTCAACGACTCGCAGCGAGAAGCTATCACAGCAGCAGCGACGTCAGAGGGATTCACGTTGATTAAGGGTCCTCCAGGTACAGGCAAGACTACGACGCTTAAAGGTTTGCTGAACTCGTTGCATTTGCGCGAGTATAATCGGTATTACAATGCTGTATTGGATGTGGCGCGCCGACCGGATAGCGAGACAGCCAAAGCGTGGGCTCAGGTGGGGAATGAAAAGCCTCACATCTTGGTGACGGCGCCGTCCAATGCAGCAGTGGACAACATTGTGAGCAAGGTGATCGAGGAGGGATTCTGTGATGGAGAAGGGCGGCGATATTTCCCTAAAATTGTGCGCGTTGGAAGAGGGTTGGTACGTGTTTGCTATAGTTGTCTGTGGTAATCTATGCAGTGTGGTCTAACGTTTTGTTAGAGTGCAAGTGTCCAAAGCGTAGGTCTGGAAAACCAAGTCGATCAAATCTGCAGCCAGCCGCTGGAAGTTCTTGAGGGCCATATTGGCCGCCTACGCCATGAACTGATGGTGGTACGTAGAAACAACACCTCTCAGCTGTTTGTTTGTTGTGGGCGTTTTGCTAACGTGCGAGTTTTCAGGTGGAGCGCGACTCGTTAATGCTGCGAGACCAATTACGGAATATTGTTGCCTGGATCGAGCACGACCCTATTAAGGCGCTAGAGGAGATTGCACAGCATGATGCACAACAGAACCAAGCTGCGGTTGCAGCACGTGCAGCGGCCGAAGCTCAATCTTCTCCAGTACCGCCGCCGCTGGATTTGCCGCCGCCGTCTGCTCTTGAACAAAAGCCATTGTCACCCCCGCCACCGCCAACCGCATATCCTGATTCTCCTCCGCCGCCCCCATCGCCACCTGCCCCTGAGATCCCTGGCGAGGAAAGCTCAATACACAGCACGAGCGCGTTTGAAGGCGGTGAAGTCGCTGCAAATATGCCAGAAGAGGAAGAAGATGAAGAGTTTCCGGCTTCTTTTGGAGCCCCGCCACCGGCGTGGGACGAACAGGAGAGCTCTTTTAATGCTGAGGCAAGCGGGAAGGCTTTAAACGCGTTTTTGGATGATGGCAGCAACTCTGAAGAAGATGAACCCCTCCCAGGTGCAGCCCATGAAGTCAAAACGGAAGATCAGGAGGAGCAAGACGAGCCCTTCCCTGCTCCACCGCAGCGACAAACAGAAATGGAAACATCTTCAAGCGAGGATGGATCGTCTAGCAAACCTATTGAAGTCGACGATGACGATGACAACGACACACCTGAGCAGGACGAACCATTACCAGGTCACGAACCAAACGCGGAAGTTCGCGAACAGGTTAAACCCTTGTCGGTGGCGCTGGGACCTATTCAGACTGCATATCACGATGCTGCTATCAACTCACCTAACAGTCCGTTGCCGTCATCTCCGCCACCGCCGCCACCTCCGTTATCACCGCCACCACCACCTCCATTATCACCCCCACCGCCGAGCGATCTTCCTGATGATCGCCACTTTCCGTCTTCCCCGACTATGATGATGCCTCAGTCTCCACGCTTACCCCCACCGGCTGCACCAAAAGAGACGAAGGAATGGGGCCCAATTGACTACTCACGGTATCACCCCTATGTGGCCATGGCTCAGCGGATTAATGGATGCTTGGAAAAACTCTCTGAGGTACGTGCTCAGTCCTTGGCTACATGAATCGAGTGACTGACGTTTCTGCTTGTTGTTTTGATTAGGTCAAGTTGGAGTTACAGCGGTTTGAGTTCGCTCGCCAAGCAGTGAGCGAGATGAGAGGAAAACTCTCTCAGTCCACACGACAATCACTAGAAGTTTCGTTCCTGGATACGGCACACATTGTGTTCACAACACTGAGCAGTGCCGGTGTTGCTGCACTGGATGCAAGCGCTCGCTACGATGTACTCGTAGTGGACGAAGCAGCCCAAGCTGTCGAACTCTCCACTATTATCCCCATGAAGTACGTAGCACCCTGATCAATTGGCTCGTGCTTGGCTAACAATTTCATTCTTTCGATACTAGATTTGGAAGCAAACAGTGCGTGCTGGTTGGCGATCCTCAGCAGCTTTCAGCAACAGTATTCTCGCGTAACAGCGGCCAATCCCTGTACGAGCGGAGTTTGTTTGAGCGACTGGAAAGCTGCGAGCATCCTGTACATATGCTGCGAACGCAGTACCGAAGGTACGTATCCATAGTTACGTGAACGGCTGCTATGATGCAGTTGACTAACACTTGTTTATATCTCGTCTAGTCACCCTATGATCTCCGACTTCCCCAGGAATTACTTTTATGGCGGCAAGCTTCAAGATGGCGACAATGTAAAGGGCGACGAATACGTCAAGCCGTACCACAGTCTTGGACCTGCTTTCATGCCGCTGGTGTTCTGGAACCTGCTCAGCAGTCGAGAGAATTCTACAAAGTCAGTATCGCGCATGAATGTCGGCGAGGCGGAGCTAGCAGTGAACTTGTTTCTCACTCTGAAGAACTCCTGTCCTCCAAACGCGATCGCCGGGAAGGTCGGTATGATTACTCCGTATAGCCAGCAAATGGATGAGCTAAAGAGTCAATTCCGCCGCGTATTGGGCGACCGCTATGAGCAAGAGGTCGAGATCAACACTGTCGATGGCTTCCAAGGACGCGAGAAGGACATTATCATTCGTACGTGACGTTATGACCTGTCTTTGGAACGGATTGAGCTTTCTAACGATGTATCTGCGTGTAATAGTGTCCACTGTCCGAGCTGATCCCAAAGCTGGTGTTGGTTTCTTGAATGATATCCGGCGTATGAATGTGGCTCTAACGCGTGCGAAGTTTGCCTGCTACGTGATCGGAAAAGAGAACACGCTCCGCTCCTCGAAGCCTTGGTCGGCTCTATTGGATCACGTGTATAACCACCATTGTATTGTACATGTGCATAGTCCGAAGTGCAATTTGCTCACGTTGAAGCCGATGGAACGACCGTCTGAGACGTCACGGAATTCAGGAGCATCGAGAAATCATCATCACCAGGGGCCCCAACAGCAATACGATCAATCGATGACTGCTGACGGTTACGGGTCGATGGGCAACGGGTGGAAAGGAAGAGGACGAGGGAATGACGGACGCGGTGGACGACGCGGTGGACGAGGAGGTCGTGGACGTGGCAACCGAGGACGAGGGCGAGGAGCGCCAGTGCAACAGTACGCGCCACAACAGCAATTTCTGCAAGGCCCAGGATCGCAATACTCTAATCAAGTTCCACCGCGTGAGTACGGACAACCTCCACCTATGAACATGCCGATGCAACATGGAGGAAGACCTGCTATGGCGCCTCAACCTCCTCCAGGATATTTTGCTCTCCGTGGCCCAGTACAGACCTTTCCTCCTTCTCCGATGCATGGTGCTGGACCTTACGCTGGAAATCCCCCTCCGAACCTCTCTCGACCAGCGAATAATGGTGCTGGAAGAGGTAATATTAATCCTCGAGATCCTCGACAACGTGCTGGACGAGGAGCTGGGCCTCCGGGCTTTGGAGGCTGAAACATGGCAGGTAACGTTATGATAGTGATAGAACTCCCCAGCTTTCCAAAAACTCTAATTGTGATTATGTTTAGAGCCTGGTGATCCTCGATTTGGCTGTAAATAGATGATACCCGCAAGTTCTGGATCGACTGAGTGAGGTTCTTCTTGACAGCTATGCCGATGCAGAAGCTCGTGTACCCGATGAGGGAGACGATGCCATTCTTCGTGAGCTCGTTGCGTGCTATCGACGACTGGAAGCGAGCCCATGCAAAACGTGCAGATGCCATTACCCAAGCAGAACTTGACGCCAATGCGAAATATGTCAAGAGTCCTTTTGCTCGCTCCATGAACATAGAGGACTTGCTGCGCTTCTTGGACGACACTGTGTTGGATATCAACTTTATGGTTCAACTGCCTTCTATCGAGAAATGTTTGGAGAAGTGGTGGAAGCTCTACGCACATGGAAGACAAGTGATCGACCAGGATATTGTAAGAAAACCCGTTGAATTCTTGCTTGTCACCGCAAATCTAACTGTCTATTAGCTGCGTAGCGTCTACTACGACCTTGCCTTTGTACTGGTGGAGGCTAAGACGGAAACTCTCCACAAGAACTCGGTGTCTATGATCATGCGGGCGAGCTGGACCAAATGGAGCCCAAAGGAGCCACCACTCGGCAAGAGCGAGTTCTTTCGACTACTCTTCATCCTCGCACACCTGGTACGATGACGGATAACTTGATGCTGTAAATTGTAGTGGTGTTCTTCTTACGGTCTTGATTATAAACTAGATGACGATAACAGAGCGCTTGGGTGACTACATTACCTTCTTCCACGACACGATGGGCAAGATCGCGCGTAAATATCGCCAGAAGCAGATGCGGACGGAGCAGCACAGTCGACGACCGAGACTTCGTCGGAAATCTACGTTGGACGAGATACTAAGAAGCGGGAGTGCAGGCTCATCAAAAGTGCTGAGTGTTCCAATGGGACGGATACCGATGCACGGCGACGGTACGAAACACTTGTTTATATGCGTCACATGAGCTTGTTTTACACTGTTGATTGCGGTAGGAGTTCTATCGGACGATGAAGACCAAGGAGGAGATTGCTTCGTGGAGCTATTGGAACGGAACTCGCGGTATCAGCGTGTCGTGGTGGACCCATTACTGAACGACAGAAGATTTCAAGACAAATTCAGGCAACCTGGTGGCGGTATTAACAGCAATACAACCTCGATGAACGACATGCTTGTCGCGCTGAACCCGACTAGTAACAAGTACTGTCCACCTCTACTTGCATCTCGCTTAAAGACATGCACGTCTCCAAGTCCATCCCGTGTCGGATCTCCGCTACTGAATACAAGAGCCTCTGGAGGATATGACCATACGACTCCAAGCAACCAAGCTATCAGTCAATCACTGAGAGAGCAGAAGCTTCGCACCTCGACAAGTACTCCAGCTATCGGTGGTTTAAGTAAGTCTGACGCAGCATGGCACACGCCGAACGACACGTCGCTGACACCTCGTGAAGAAGAGCTCATGCGGAGAAGCCTATCAAGAGTTACGCTGAAAACTCGCGTTGATCGAAACAAGGCAGCTGGGGCGGAACGACTTAAGAACAGAGGGCATGAAGTTCTAGACACTTTGCCGAAGAGAGAGGGGAAGCAGAAGAAGGAAATTTACCTGGCCATATCAACGTGAGCAGTACCGAACTGAGGTCTTGGCTAGAGCTTGAAGACTTGTGCGAGGTGGCGAATTACCGCTGCGCGGCCTTGCTTGGTGGATCGATAGATGACACGAGCACCGCCGACATCCATGATGCATTCGTTCATCGCCGGTCGGTTATGGAGTCGACATGCCATCGTAGGCAGCATGACGTTCACTTCTTCTCGAGTTTCTGACGGTTTGATCGCCTCAATACTTCTTGGTACTTGACCACGGAGAGCGTTTTCGATGTGACTACTGTACGCTGACAGATTGAGCTCCAGTGTGCCAACTTCTACTTCAAATGTCGAAGAGCGCAGCAGCACTGCGTGGAACATTCGCGTCCTTCTCGCACTTCGCTCAAGCTGCTGCTGATCTGGCTGGACTGGAGCAGGTACATTAGAAACACCAGGTCTCTTTCTGGCGCGTGGACTAATGTCCTTCGGATTGCGTATCCGTGTTCCTTTTCGTTTCGGCAGATGAACAACGAGACCGACGAAGCTGTTATACGCATGTTGTAGTACGGAGAAGTGCGTTGACGTCGCGACGTCCATATCTGTTGGAAGTTTGACGGGTATTAGCTGGGGAATACGAAGGTAATGACGAATGCAAAGATACTTACTTGACGTCTGAAGTTCATCTGCCACAGTCTGACCCATTGTTGCTCTGATCGCAGCTTCGTTGCAGTCGATCTTGATCGGACCGATGCACATTCTTCCTTTTAGACCTAGCTCTTCGTCAAGGCCCCCCACAAATTGAACTCTTCCATTGGGCTTCGCTGCCACCTCATGCACGGAGTACTTGAGTCCAACGTAAAAGAATCCGTCTTCCGGTGAACGAATGTAGTTGCTTGAGATCCACTTGTACTCCGTGACTATACCTGAATCCACCCTGCTCTCGTCGTTTTGAAGATGAGGTTGTCGTATCAAGGTAACATGGAGAAGTCCAACACGTACTTCCACAAGAATACGCAGGAATGGTGCTCTACTGAGAAGCATGGCGCCACTACAGCCATCAACCCCAATGTCGACTCCAATGTCACGGTTGGCTGTCTGTACGTGATCAGAATCACCTGCTGCAAGGCTGATTCTCAGTGGACCAAGATGCCAGTTGAGCAAGGGGATAACCTTGGATGGATTGAGAATCCAATTCGGAAAGAACTGCTTCTCAAACCAAGACGTCGTGTGGAGTCCCAGTTGCCGCTGCTTGAAGATCCAGGCTCGAAGTGGTTCTAAATCCAACGCACTTTCGTGTTTGGTTGGACTCGGTAGATCGCTGGTCGAAGCGGCATGAGGTCGTGATGATGGAGGAGAAGCGAGACGAACCGACAGTTCATCACCTGCAAAACCGATAGTCATTCCTCTCTTGTGACGATGCTCAGCGTCTGGACTGACAGGTTGGTGTGCTGGCGGAGAAGAAAAGCTATCGACTGAATAGCTTCGACCATGGTGCGACGTTGACTCGGCTGGTGCGACTGAAAACTCCATCGATGACGAGACTTTCCGCGTTGGTGATGGAGGAGCCGCAGTATAATCTCTTCGAAGCTGCTGCTCAGTAAGAGCTCGACATACTCGCTGTTCATACACGGACATGGTGACAATGAAGTCGGAGAGTTCCCACTGTTCTACTTGAGTCAGTGGGTCAAATTCTGGTAGAGGACGGCGTCTTGGAGATGCTGGAGGAGACTGTAGTATACCAACACCCGTCTGGGCCTGAGAGCTTAAGCTCAAAAGAGCCTTCCCTCGACCGTATAACGCAATCTCCATGGCACTGGGACTCAGACTACGTGCATACAAATGCATGTAGCGTTGACGACGAACTTGTTGGAGTTCTTTGTCAACAATGTCGTCAAAGCGCCACCAAATTCTGGGATCTATTTCTTGATAATCCTCTCGCTTTGACCTTCGCTTTTGGTCAACAATACATCGGAAAGCATATCTCCATATGGCACGGAACCAGAGTCTGGACTTACGTTGTTTATCGATGGAGAAAACCAATGCAGCACGTTCCTCGTCACTGATTGGCAAAGGAAGAAGAGCGTTGGCTGATAGCTTGACACTGGGCGGAGCGTGATGCTCTCGATCGATGCAGGAAGGACGCCATTGCCATGAACGCGCACGTTTAAAGTATTCAACAACGTGCTCCAGCTCTACCAGTATCATTGCTATCTGATCAAAATCAACTTTCACCTCGATCTCTTCCGTAGCGATGTCCACTGCTGTCAGTACAGGCCTCGTTGAGCTTTTATTCTCGCTGGGATTTTGCTGCGCTCGTTTGAAGTCAAGTTTAATCCAGACCACGCGAATAAACGCTAATTCGCGGTGTTCAGTGCGAGTGAAGGACTTTAGAGCACACTCCTTGAAACGTTTCAACGAATCTTGAAGCAAGACTTGACGAGTGTTTGGATCTAGGGATGTGAGTAAAGCAGCGGCAAGTGGGTTTTCTGTTGTAACTGGGGTTGTCTCGCTTTCTTTTGGTGCGGTCCAGTACGTGCTGCCATCGAGGTCGGTGTAGAATGATACATTTTCAATCGTGAGCAGCTTGGAGAAGAAATTATCAGATGCCTTGGGATACACGACACCAGGTTGCTGACGTCGGTACAAAATCTGCTCTTCTACCTCGCGCGGTGCGAAGCGAATCAACTAAAAGCAGGCAAGTAAGCATCATGATTTTTATCTCAACATAATATCAATAAAACTGTACGCACAGGGATATAAAGCCCATAGGCCACAAGTTTGTCACTGCGTGGGCTCTGTAGACAGACGATTCCAATGTCAAATATCCGAGAAAATCCCCATGAATTGCAGCACGTACCTCCACTCGGATGTGAATGCGCTCCAACTGGATGATCATATCCGCCGCCACCGCTTTGATTCGATTCTGCATTTCAGTCACAGTAAATGTTACCAAAAGATGCTCTTAATCGAGTTATTAAACAGCTCTACACACCCATATCCATTTCGCAGGAGAAATGAACGACGCGTTGTCTTTCTTAACGGTTGCTGGCCTCCCGAAACATTGACAGATCGCGACAAGGAGCTCTCTCGCATAGCGGATTAGCAGTTCGTTCTCCCATTGCGCTTTGTGGGGTTTCAGGACGAGACATAGATCACTGACATTGACTTCCAGTGGCCACCCAGCCACAGCCCCGACAAGACCTTCGACCGTGACGTTACCAAGGTATCCGGCAGACAGCTCGAACGGCAGCTGCAGCGAGTTGACGAGCTAAATGGAGAAATAGGTCATTACTATGCAGATATTTCTACTGATATGATTAAAAAAAAATCCCCACGGAAGTCTGAAGGAAGACGTCGTTGAGCTTGAAGTGGCTGGGCTCTGAACAACAGCGAAGTAAGCGATCAGAAGACGGAGACGGGCATTGAGATAAAGACTAAAAACAGACCGAAGAGATCACCGGCGTAGAAAGACACATGATCCTCCTGTACGTCCACGAAAAACTCGTTCAGCACTTGCTGGAGCGCCTCGAAGATCATGGTCTCCAGAATAAGCAGAACAACGGCGTTTGGGTCCACTTCAACTTGGAAAGATCACTGTGTGGTTTACATAACCTTGTCAAAATGATACAACGAAAATCAATCGACTTTCCATATTTGGCCACGTTGCCTAACGTCGCATTGAGCAGCTCCGAAAGTGACGCAAAAGACTCCGTTCTCGTGCCTCTCCCTCCCCCCGACACTAGTAGACCATGATCAAGTTCGTACTGATGGTGAATAAGCAAGGCCAAACGCGGCTGGCGCAGTACTACGACTTCCTGTCCATCCAGGAGCGTGTGGCGCTTGAGGCCGAAATCATCCGCAAGTGTCTGGGTCGCAATGAGACGCAGGTATGTCCATTCCTCCCTCTAGTTGCATGCGGTAGCAGATACTGACTGGACAGGTGTGTACGTGACTGTGTAGTGCTCGTTCGTGGAGTACCGCGGCTACAAGGTCATTTACAGAAGATATGCGTCGCTCTTCTTCATCGTCGGCGTCAAGGACGACGACTCAGAGGTGCGTGGGCTGAATACGAGTAATATACTGCAATGGGGATTGCTTTTTAATGGTGTGACTATATTGTAGAACGAGTTGGGAATCCTGGAGTTCATCCACGCGCTCGTGGAGACCATGGACAAGTACTTCGAGAGTGTGGTACGTTTAGGGACGAGTTGGTCTGTGATGGTGCAGTTGTAACGGTTGTGTGTTGTTACTGTTGTATTTGCTATTGGTTTTGTGCTGTGACTGTAGTGCGAGCTCGACGTGAGTGGTTTATTTCTCTAGATATGTGGACATGTTGTAGGACTTACACCGTTGTTTTCTGTTAACATGCAGATCATGTTTAACTTGGAGAAAGCGCACTTTATCCTGGACGAGATGGTGATGAACGGATACATCGTGGAGACGAATAAGATCTCCATCCTCAAACCCATCCACCTCATGGAGAAGGCGTCGTAGACATCCGTTCCATTTCGTGGGGATGAATGGATTATAGCAGAAATTGTTAGTAGTCTGCGCACAGTTTACTCGCACCCACGCAGCGAGCGGGTAAGCGTTGCATGAATACATGGTCTTATACTCACGCGAGGTGCATTATCTATGCATTATTATTCATGTTGTGTCCCAGAACTCGAGTTCAATGTCTTATTGCCTAATGATGGCGTTGATTAACTCTGACACATACTTTGTTTATGCATAGGTAAGCCCGAGTCAGCAGTCGAAATATGCTCGAGAAGCCTATCGCTGCTGCTGGCTCGGGCTTTACCTCATTCGACAATATTACCGGGCACTTTGCGAACTTCTTGCTTAGTTTTCCTAGTACTTAAAGTATCCGACCTGAAGATCATCTGACCCAAACTAAAGATCATCCTGCCGATGTTGTTGGTGCGATCAACGACGCAGCAGGTTAATGTGTCGGTAAATGTGTCCAGCAGTGAAAAAATGCCGCATTCTCATACCTAGCAGCTGAGTCCTCATTCTCTTTGCAGTTTCGCTGCCCGGAATCGCTCTTTCTGTCGTCAAAGCGCCACAGGTTCGTTGCCACGATAACACAGGCACCATTTTTACCTCTAATACCTGTATGAACAGAACCTACGCGTCAGAGTGCGACTTGCATGAAAGCTTCCGTTCAAAGGAAGTTGAAGTGCTTGATGTGGGTCGAGAACCCACGTCTGGAACGGTCCAAACCGTTAATTAAACCGGTTTACCGGTAGCACTTTGCCTCTCGAGCTTGAGCGTAGCTCAGCAAACAAGACACAACCTGCTCATATTCATATTTCTACTCCTTAGCTTTTTCACACTGGTGCCCTTTAATGCTGCTCCAGCGTTTGTAGCGCTCTACTACAGACTCGAGGCCGCGTCAATAGCGACAGCTTCGGTATTACTGATTGTATGGGTCCGAGCCCGGGGAGCCAGTCAAACCCGTTTACCCTTCGTCTTACAAATATCAAGTTTATTATTTCATCCAATGGGCGCGGTGCGGCCCGTCAGGGAGCCGCCAACCCTTGAGTTGCAAACTCCAGGCTCACTGGTGAATTGCTCGCTTGGTCGAGTCCAAGTGTTGTGTGCGTGTGCGTATATCTCTGCATCCGTTGCCATTCCCGCTAACTAATTGCCGCTGTTCTCTCCGCTCTTGATCTGCCATGCCGAACATGTCATTTTCTTCTTCAAATTCAGCCTATTAGTGACGGGAGCGAGCTCAGCGCCTGGGCCACGGTGGAGGACAGCTGGGCAGGCGCGGACATCCCCGCGCGGGCCGCTGCGGCGGGCAGGATCGAGACCAGCATAGAGCTGCCACCCAAGCGACCGGTCTCCATGTCAGCGACCTTCGAAGAGGAGACGGTGCGCAAGAAGAAGCTCACGAGTGTCGTATGGGAAACATTCACGCCAATTTCCAGCAGCGGCCTGCGCGATGGACTCATCGACTCAGCCAAGTGCTCGATCTGCAACAAGATCTTCAGCACGCGGCATGGCACGTCGTCGATGATGCGACACGCCAAGCGGCACAACGAATTCCCTAATGGCACGCCTATTGGCAAGAAAGCCAAGAAGAACGCCAATGGAGCAGCAGCTAATGGAGGGGCAACTGGCAAGAAGGCAGCCACGCCGAAGAAAGACACAATTGTGATGCCGATCGACGAACAAGCAGGTAATTGGATGACTTTTTTTTTCTTTCTTTTCTTTTTTTTAAACGATATGTCGCTATGTAGGCATGAAGCGTCAACGGATGCGAAATTTAAGCAGTGCGCTGATTGAGTGGATCGTAGAAGACCAGCAGGATTTGGGTGTGGTGCAGCATGAAAAGTTCCTGGACGTTCTGGCCGCTGTAGGTGTAAAACCGGTGATTCCGCCGGTAGATGCCTTGCAGAAGGCCATGGAGAGGAAGTATTATGCGCTATTCACGCGTGTGGGGGAGTATATTAATCGCTCCGTGGTTGGTCGCATTACGTTCTCGTGCGATACGTGGTCGGGGTCAGTGTACAAAGGGTATATGGCCATTCATCTGCACTGGATCAATGCCGAATGGGAGTATAAAACCATCCAAGTTGGCCTGGAAGGCTGCCCACCGGAGTTTAACGCCTATTTCATGTCGGACTTGTTGTTCAATGTGCTTCAGAACAACTGGGGCCTCGGTAGCAAATTACTCTGTGGAGTGACACCTACGGGTAACGAGTCGGGTGTGGGTATGGGTTTTCTTCGTGAAAAGATCAAATCAATTATAGGATTAGATAACATTGCCCCGGACTGGAACGTGACGTGTCTGGGTCATCTCATTCACGCGGGCGTATTGGCGGCGCTCAAGGAAATTCGCCACGAGATCGTCAAGCTCCGCTCCTTGCTCTCTCTTTTGAAGTCTACGACGGAAAGTCAAGAGCATTTTGCGCTGCGTACAACTGAAGTGGGGCTGCAATACCCAGATCAGCTGCCGAATTTGGATTCGCCCAAGAACTGGAAGACAACTATTACAATGATCTTGGAGAGCGCCAAGATAAAGGACACTATCAACGCTCTATATGGTGACGCCACCCATAACATGAGTGTTTTCTTGCTGGAGGAGATCGAGTGGGATTTATTGGTGTGGGTGGCTACATTTCTGCAGAAGTGTATGCAGATGGCAACGTGCCAAAGCGATCAGAAGCACATTTCGCTGAGCACGTCCATCAATGTCTGCAAGGCGATCGTGGGGCTTTGCGAGAGCACTGCTGCATCGGCCTCGGATTTTACAGCGAGCGCGTTCAACAAGATTCAAACGGTGTGCCTGAAAGTAAAAGCCAGCCTCGAGTCGTATCACACGGAACACTCGTCACCGTATTTCCGGCTTGCGAAAATTTTGGACCCGCGGTTTTCCAACGAGTCGGTGGACAAGGCTGCCAAGAAGACGTTTTTGAGAGAAATGCTGCGCACGAACGTGTACGACGCGCTTTCGGACGCGCGACTGGATGACGACCAAGCGAGGCATGATGCTTCGGCGGCGTACACAACGTTCGAGAAGCTGCTGGATATTGGTGAGGGCATGCCGGACTACACGATCGACGGTGATGAAGTAGATCGGTTCTTTGATGCGACGCTGATTCGTGACAAGCGATCAGACCCGTTCTTGTGGTGGAAGTCGAACGAAACGCGCTTCCCGTCGCTGGCGAAGCTTGCGAGAGATATTTTGTCCATCCCCGCGACCGCGGTGCCTAGCGGTGCTGTGTTCACTCAGGCGAACTACGCTCGCCCGCTCAATGCAGAAGTCATGGAGACCAACAAGCTGTTCAAGTTCAACGAACTTGCACGGGCATGGCAGATCGAGCGTCAGAACTTCGGCCGTAAGCGGCGTCGCGACTCTTTTGACTATTTGGATCCCCCGCTGGAGCCTCCAGCGAAATTGGCGTCATATGAAGAAAGTATTTAGGTTAACGACGACAACAACGATCAAAAACTCAAAGTGTCATTAGGTTTGCCCGGTTGCAATCGTCCAACAGCTGAGATTTCGCTTGATCAGAAAAACCGGTGTTGTAACCGGTATCTCAGTAATTTGTGAAAACCCAAAGTTCTTAAAACCCACATTAGACTTGTGGGTCGAATTAATTTAACTATCCCTAAATGTGGGTTTTGAAATGTTTACCCATCCAGTTGTGGGTGAATACATTTTTTCAACAACCCACAACTTGATGGGTTAAATAGTTTTGGGTGATTTTCGTGTGGGTTTTAAAATACTGTTCACGTCAGCATCTTCTCGACAACTTCAACGGGGGTCCTTGGCAACGTCAGCCTCACTCCGCAATCTTCCTGCCGACAGACGCAGAGCCCCTCTCCTCTCCATGACGCTCAAGAACGTGTACATCGTGGCGGCCAAGCGCACGCCGTTCGGCAACTTTGGCGGCAAGCTCAAGGACATCACAGCCACGGATCTGTGTGCTCACGCAGCCAAGGCGACGCTAGCGGCCGCCAAGCTGGACCCTTCGCTCGTGGACATGGTACAGGTGGGCAACGTAGCACCCACGTCTCCGGACGGCGCGTACATTGCGCGTCACGTGCAGCTGAAGGCCGGTATCCCGCAGGAGAAGCCCGCACTCACCATTAACCGCCTGTGCGGCAGCGGCTTCCAGTCCGTCGTAGGCGGAGTGCAGGAGATTCTACTGGGTGAGGCCGAGATCGCACTTTGCGGCGGTGCTGAGAACATGTCACAGAGCCCGCTTGCCGTGTATGGCCACCAGGCGCGCTTTGGCGTAGGACTTGGCGCCGGGTTGAACCTGCAGGACACGCTCTGGTCCGCCCTCACGGACTCGTACGCCAAGACGCCTATGGGCATGACGGCCGAGAACCTGGCCGACAAGCACAATATCACGCGCGAGGAGTGCGACGCATTTGGTCTTCGCAGTCAGACACGCTGGGCCGAGGCCCACGCCGCTGGCTGGTTCGACGCTGAGCTCGCACCTATTGAAGTCAAGGATGGACGCAAGACGGAGGAGTTCGCCGTGGACGAGTCCCCCCGCACTGTAGATATGGCCAAACTGGCTAAGCTTAAGCCTGTGTTCAAGAAGGACGGAGTCGTGACGGCGGGCAATGCGTCCGGCATCTCGGACGGTGCTGGCGCTGTGCTGCTTGCAAGTGAGGATGCCGTGAAGAAGCACAACTTGACGCCCTTGGCGCGTATCGTGAGTTACCAGGTGTCGGGTGTGGACCCGACGATTATGGGCATTGGCCCCGTGCCTGCTATCACTGGTGCGCTGAAGCGTGCGGGACTGAAGAAGTCGGACATTGACATTTACGATATCAATGAGGCCTTTGCCGCCCAGTGGCTGGCCTGTATCAAGGAGCTGGAGATCGACCCGGAGATTGTGAACCAGAGTGGCGGCGCGATTGCTCTCGGACACCCGCTTGGCGCTTCAGGAAGCCGCATCACGGCCCACCTGGCGCACGCTCTCCAGCGCACGGGCAAGAAATACGCGGTGGGATCTGCTTGTATTGGCGGCGGACAGGGCATTGCGCTTGTGCTGGAAAACGCTGCTTAAATTCAATCGAGAAGTGACAGAAATTGGTTCGAAGAGCTAAAAAAAAAGTTGTTTGAACAGATTTACACAGTTCTACAGTATGAGCGGAGCGACTTAAGAAAAAATCGGGTCTTGATTGAAGATGTCTCCACCAAAGATGGGATTGTTGCCGTTGTTGTCGTCAGATGCTGGCGCCGCGGTGGGGCTATCAACCAGCCAGCTGAAAATACCGAGTTGACGTTCTCTAGAAGGTGGAGCAACTCGTGATTCATCCTGAATTTTTAATGAGGGCGCTTCGCCTCGCATTTCGTTGGCTGAGATGGCACTGACGAAGACCATCGCGATAATCGGGAGTAGTGACGCAAAGCGCATTGTTCAGTGAGCTTGATCGATGCTAGAAGGCAAAAAATGAGAAGTGAAGTGAAATCTCTCGTCGAAAACTCGAGATGGTAGTTTACGCGACGCTTCTAATCATCGAGCCCCACAAACCTCTACGATGCTCATTTTCAGCTTCTTAAGAGCGTTTGATTCTTTGGCGCAATGCGATAAGAACAAAGAGGAGAGCAAAAGCCGACGAAGCTCACGAGAAACAGATTATGTCGCTGTTATTATTGTAGGATTCCACTGTCCACAACAAAATGACTTAGCCTTATTGCCAGGCGCGTTAAAAGGTTGCGTTCGGATCCCAGAACGGTCCGCTGAAGGGTCCACCGTCGTCGTAGTTTTTGTTACCAAAATTAAAGGCAGGTGCTGGCGTATCGGGTGCTGCTGTGGGGCTCTCAAACAACCAGTCCAATATACCCAATTGACGTTCTCCGGCTTGCAGCTTATGGGGTGGCGGCACGACGTTGATCTCACTGCGCAATTTTGACACAGGCGCGGGGGTTGCTGCATCATTCTTGACCTCTGCGGCCGAAATAACGCTGGCCAGCACGAGTGTAGCGAACGCGAGGATAGTGGTAAGGTGCATACTTGAACCCTTGAAGACTGGTAGGAAGGTTTGTGTTGCAGTTTGACAATTCCAGAATGAGGATTGATTCTTGTTAGAGCATTTATTTTACTTTTATTCCCCATCTGCTTTCCAATAGGCATAGCTACCATCGAATTTCTCAATCCTACGAGACCAAAGACCTCAACTTACTAATAGTAATCACTGATCACACAGCACCTGGACGCCGTTCCTCTACGCGTTATCACTAGGCTTTGCGTCGTGGAGCGCAAACCAGCATTCAGGCTGGATTCCAGTTTGGAGCATCTTTGAAGCAGAACATCCTCACAGCCTCGCCTGGGAATGGACAACGTACGGCTCTGTGATTTCTTACTGATTTTCTGCCTGGAAAGCTGTCAGGGCCAGGTAGGTACACCATGATATGGTGAAATACTATTATGTGTGGTGCTTGAATGGCTCCCCAAATAATGGGAGTCGAACTGTTTTCACAGTGGTTTATACCGGCAATGGAGTGAAGCAAACTTCAGATGATTGTAACATGCATTTTGCTTTCACCCTCATCTCCACCACTAAACCTACCGCATTTACAAATTTCAGGCTGACCAATGCCTTATGGACGCTACAACAGCGTACCGTAAACGTTTTGCTGCACCAAAACTCTCTATTTTGTTAACGATACCTTTTCACTGCGCTAAGGCTGTCCAGTAGACCTCTTCTGTATTACCATCAACGGTGAAAAATCAAATAGAAGGCCATCTATCATCATCATCTTGTTTTCAATGATACATTGCGTACAAGTACCAATATAACTAGGGTTCTTCGCTAGGCTGGGAGGACTGCGAAATGGCACTGTAGCGTTTTGTTTAACTAAGGTAAACCGCCAATTAGGGGCACCACAACAAGCTTTTCGTCTTGGACTTGTAACTTTCGTTCTACATAAATGACAAGAAAAGCTGATGGTTTCGGCTCAAATATTGTATAATGTTTAAAATTTTGAGTTTTATGTTACGAACACGCGCAAATCTGCGCGGTGTTTGCGTAAGGGAAAATGTCAGTTTAGTAGCCCTCGTCAGTTTAGTTAAGGAGGGCTACTAATGTTTAGTAACCCTCCTTATTATTAATAGCCAATTAAAACGAGTGAAATCATGGTAAACGATTTTTATTGGTCGCAGACACCTCCATAAACTATGCGCACAGTTTAATCAAGTCAAGTGGGCTACTAAACTACCAATTCGCGGAATCACATTGAAAGCACTTATAAAAATAAAACGTTTTTCAATTAACTCTTTAGACAATCCGTAAAATCAGGTTGTTTCTCCTCTTTTCAACGCTACCTGCCTGGCACGTGTCAATCGGATCCTTATATGCAAGATATTGATGGTTTAGTGAGGGTACCAGACCACAGCTACTAAACTGACATTTTCCCTTAGGCTGCCCCAGCGCCAATCCCTTAGCGAACCGCGCGTTGCACATGCCAGGTAAGAGCGTCATATAATTATTTAGTTTTAGGGCACTCGCATACATTGCCAACGACGCGAGTTATTATAACCAAAATAAAGCTACTTCTACGAGTGTTGTTAGCACCAATAAACAACATTCTCGAATATTCATGACATATCTCTGTCATCGTGATAGACTGAAAGCGTGAGAGCTGCTTCTTGATTCTCGTAGCTGGTTTTACAAAAAGAAGCTTTGTTTTCGAGAAAGTGGCGCTATGGATACGTTGGTGAAGTCGACCACCATAGGGTCATATTTTTTTTTCTTTTGGGAGCTGATAACGCTATGAGTTAAATTGCACACTGACGGTTAGAAATGAATCCACGACGCGCATGCTGTGATGATATTGCGTTTGGCATTTTGAAGCCAAGAGAGAGTATGTAGCACATAATAACTCGTGATTCACGAGTGTATTTCAACGGTTTGTAAAGTTCCCCGACGAGTGACACATTACACTAAGATGTGTGCAGGCTGTGTGTTGTGATGTGATCTGAAAGTTGCTTGCACTACAGGCAACTTTTTTGGAGCGAATAATCTGCTGTTGACAATAGAATTATCCTGGGAGAAGGCAGCTTCTCTGCCCACCCTGAAATTCTCTGGATTTTATCCAGAGTAGTTGGGGCGATACAACTGGAGGTACGAATCACTACGAGAACATATAAACTGTATTGCTTAATATGAAAAAAAACATATAGAAAGGTTTAAATGACTTGTCAATATTAATCACCGTGTACATGTTATTAATATCCAATGCATGTTACTTGAGTCATTTACGGGCGACATTACGACCAACACTCTGACAATGATATAATCATAAGGAACAATTGTTACCTACGAGCTCTAGGATAATGACTACTTACAAGCCACAAGTTCTTTTTCTCTCCTCCCTCACCATGTAGCACTAGGGGCAATAGCGACTCGAACTGAGCACTAACTACTACAGCCTCGTGTGGTAAGACACCACCGTCGCAGCCATTACCTTTCCCACCCCAAAGTTTGTACTTATGTTAATCATCTGAACTTCATGGCGCCTCAATACTTTCCAACTGCCACATCCCACACCACCGTCGCAGCCACATCCTTACCCACTCGAACGCCCTACAAAGTATCTTTCTTTTGTTATAGATCCAACAGCCTTAGATATTGCTTACACCTATTGCTTTCAAATTTTCTTCATTTAGTTAACCAACCTACTTTCCACAGTTAAGTCTTACGTTACCGTCCCAATTGTGCCATGTTCAAGCACAACGTCGCAGGTATTCGTTGTGGTCACTCGTCGTAACTTTCATTGTGGATTTTCAATCCAAGGGCACATTGACTTGCGTTTATTTTACCACTAAAGTCTCCCACTCACTAAAGGTTCCGGAATCCATGTCACTTATTCAACAGCCGCAGCAAGCTCGCGCAAACGAGCAGGAAGAAACAACTATTATCTCTGTTCCAGATATTCGCCAGCGTGTAGGGAGAGCGGGAACTGTTCGTGGAGTCTTCCGTCTGAATGGTAAAAGCTCCTTCTCTCGTGGCGTTCATCTCATCCTGATAGATGCCTGCTCACTCGTGGACTTTCGAACGGCTTCGTCGACGCTGAGCACGCTTACGCACGCTTCGCAGCAACGATTTACATTCCGGGTGACGGTTTGGAGCAGAAACCTTGACGATGCGCGTTTCGTGGTTGGAAATCTCCTGCAACTGCGCGCGATTGAGAAAGTGGATCTCTGGAACGGGGTTCTGTGCGGGTCCTGCCACTGCGAAGACATCGATGTGATCGACGATACTCATCTTATCGGACTTGGTATGCAGGAGAACGCTGTTGCTCCATAGAGCGACCCATGATGGCGCAGCTATCGAAGCAAAACTGGGGTGAGGCAGAAGTAGTGACAACGAAGTAGGACATATTGAAAACGAAACTAGTAGGAGCATACCGTAATGACTTAGGAGCTACATAGTGAGACTACGGTGGTTAGTGTGATAATGCAAGTAAACAGTCCGGTCCGCATGATTTGCAGGATGATGAAGTTGCTTGCGTGGCAAGCGTATCCGGCAAAGTGCGTTAGGCTAACCTTCGAGCGACATCAATCTAAATGGAGCGTTTGTGATTATTAATTAACTTGCGATATAATCCAGAGCTTCCACATGCTTATGCACGGTTTAGTATAATACCACTGTAATATATCATATAGACTCTCATAATTCAGTACAATTGAATTCCAATTATTACAGCATTGTCAACAAAAAAACTTAATATCTCGGATCTGGTCGGTCCAATTCTCGGAAGCATAGTTTAAGTATTGCAAGCAAAATATCATTGTGATAATGCTCCAATAAAAAGTTATTATTGGAACTGTGCGCATTCCAACGATTATAAGCGCTTATAACGCCTTTAACGTTTCTACAATTCAATTTGATATTATATTCTTCGATCCTTATACTGCAAATGGTGCTTTTGTATTACTTCGTTTTCATTCTAAACCAGAACTAACGTTTTATTTGGAGAGTCCACCTAATGTTAGAAATCCAAAACAGCAAATTCTCAACTAGATTCCCAGGAGCTACTTCTTCGGCAGGTAAGTCCGTCGATGAATAGCAGCATCATACTGCTCTTGGGCTAGACAATGTCTATTTATATCTTGTTATTTTGCAAATCTAGTTTATACAAAAAGAAGCTTGATTTCAAGAAAGTGACTTTGTGGTGATGAGATCGCTAGATAATGCATTCCTCAATCGTTCGCCTCGCATAATTGATTCGAGTGTGCCGCACACCAATTCCTTCACCACCATTTTGCGCGCAGAGCGCCGATGAGCACTTGTGAGCTGTACCAAAAATTTGGCGTCTCTAAAGGAAGCGTTAATAGCAATGAAAGAGGAGACGGCAGTGACTGTGAGAGAAGTGCCGCTGCAAGAAGAGCAACTAAGCGATGAGGTGGCTTTAAACGCAGAAGGTAAGACACCGCGAATTGTGCTACTTACGGAACTGGCGACACTGGTCGCCGACCATGCACGCATTGACAAGGATAAGCTTCTTGCTACCCAGCCGAAACAACAAGACAGGGTGTCGTGTGCCGTGTGTTGGTAAGCTCGTGTTTATCACGGCCTAAACACAGCAGACCAGACCAGCACGCTCCGCCAGTAAAGCTACTGATGGAGATACGCTCTCGAATGCATACGTTCCCGTCGTAACCGACGTGCGCGCAGCCAAGTCCCTTGAGATGCTGTCCGAGCTGGTGAAAACCCAGCTGACAAGCATGGAGCTGATTGGCAGCTCTGCAAAGACGAAGACGTGTCATTGCGCCGTTAAGAGCTGGAGCTAAAAGAGTGAGTACTTGATCAGTAAGAGACAGAAAGGAAAGAGCTCAAGCAGGATCGCAAAGTTGAGCAAGAACCATTTCTAGTAATGCTAGAGCTGTTTAAAAGTAAATAGACACTTTGAACAACATTGTGCTTTTATTTGGTTTGGTATTTCTCGATTGTCGGAAGAGGGCAACTAAAGAAATCACTTCTTTGATTTCCCCCCATGCATGCAAGTATTGCAGTTGGTTATCAAAACTGTTGACATAGTAATTTGTGCAACGCACTGGGGCTAAATGGTGCTTCTTTTGCCGATCTAAATGTGACCATTCACGATCAAATAATAATAATCATTGTATCGAGATTCGCACGGCACTCAGTATCGTATTAAACCGCTTCTATGGGGAAGTAAGCGAGTTACCCCTTAAATGACGAGCTCAAAACTCGGTTAGGACCGTAGACAGAGCCATCGTACTGCGTTCTCTGAAAGCTTGAAGTTGCTCTGGGTCTTGTTTTGTTTCATCAAGGAAGAGACACGCATCGTTTCGCAAGCCCGCCACTTCGCACATGTACAGGCTCCGGATAGCGTTTATACCGCTGCAGGAAGACATACTTGTGAGAGAAGGTGACATCTTTCCGTTGATTTGCTAGGAAGATATTTAGATAGTACACGGGAGTTAGGTCAAATATTTGTAGCAACAATAACAATATGATTAGCAACTTACATGTGGTGATGACGAGTCGTCAACAGGATGCCGCCGATCGTTTCCAAAGTCGTTTCAGCCTGGGCGGGTACGACAAACCGATAGCACAGCATCGCGAGTACCTCCACGGCGGACATCTTGTCCCAATTGCAGCTCATAATTCACTCTGGAGGGTCAGATGGATAGCAAAAATGTGAAGATCAGCTGCTGTGAAGCGAAAGTCCTCTAGAGCGTCTGCATCGTCACAACACGCTAAGAAAAAAAACGCACGACAGGGACGGTCGGGTGCTCGGAACGCTCAGCGTGAACTATCTACTTCTGCTGCAGCAACCAGCACAGTTTCGGACCACGCAGATCACTGTGATCAAGCCGTTGGTTGCGTCCCCCCCCCCCCCAATTTTGGCGTGCCATGGACGGGGACGGCCATTGGCTGACCTTGTAACGGGGTTACACGCAAGTGGCTACATGTAGCCACTTGATTACGACAATGGGTTTCACGTTGGTGTGAGATACACCAATGGTTACATTTGACAGACCACTGGTTTGTGTGCATTTAGACATCCTATTGGTTGAAAGGCGATCTCTTTCAACCAATTAGCTTAGCAGGATTCTGCCAATCACTCGTTGGCAAACACCTTTCATTTAGAATTTTACTTTAGGAGGAAACCCAAAACATAAGCAAAAATAACAGTTCTCAATTTTACGGTAAAAATCGGCTTTTGCTTTCTTATTTAAGGAAATCTATGCTTAAGTATAGTTAATCTAAGTCTAAGCAAACTACGCTTCCTCATACACGTGCGCTAACGTGTAAGCCGAAGTAGTGGGCACACAGTGAGCCCATTACAGACCTACTTCATGCCTGAAAACCGACCGTACGATTTGTTTAGTTAAGTGAAAACGATGCTCCGGATGCAACGAATGCTTGTTTCACCTGCGCTTGCCATCCACCGCCAGATGGGAATTGGATGGGACTGGCAAGACTTCTAACTCTCTCTATTTACTGGCAAATCTGCCGCAATGCGACCTAGATTATGGTTTCCAACCGATTATTAGCGGAAATGCCGGTTTTGGGCACCACTTAGAGACCAGCCACATCGTAGATAGACGCTTACTTTGGAGGGCTAGTACTGCCGCCGTATCAGCACCTTTCCTCAATGAGCGCGTACTATAGGCTTTACCCGCACCATCCTTGACTAGCAGACTACTCAAGTCCTTGCCAACCTAACGTTTGGATACCACCCACCACCCATAAGGGACATCTAGCTAATGAAAGAGGAATAGGTTGACCATAGATGCCCTCACACCTCGTGTTTCTGTGCAGAATGAGAAAGCCCTTATACAAGCCGCCTCCAACACTAGCTGCATTAGAGCCCAGGAAGATGGTCAAGTTGAAGAACGTAAACGCACAAATCTACCTCGAATCGTATCTATCGAGGAAAAACCAGGGCCAATACTGGCGTGGAAACAGCAGAAGCTAGGATCAAGAAACAACAATTCAAACACTCTGCCTGCTTTTAGCTTACCAGCTACACAGTTGACCGAGCGCAAGTGATTCACTGGATAGATGCAGCCGTTTCAATGGCAAACGAAAACCAAAATCAGGATTGAAAATTCGAATCATGTTCAACAGGCTCAAGCAAGGTCATAGACAGTCCGACAATCAGCTTTTTTTAAGATCACATGGGTCATCTTCAAGAAAACGACGTTTCTCAAATTGATTTTACTGAACCAGACATCTAAAACCTCAAGTAGCTGCTAAGAGTTGGAGTTAAGAACCATCCGACTTTTGGAAATATCGAGCTAAATCTTAACACTAAGAAAGATCTTTGCGCCGTTGGCTCACTTTTAAATGGTAAAATATGAGTTCCATTCGAGTTGTAGTCAAAGCAGTCTTTTTGTGAGGTACGGTAATACACTTAAGTAATAAATAGTGCTGGTGATGACGTTGCAAACACCAATAGAATAAGAAATCGAAAATAGAAGGATTTTCTTCATACGCAACATGAAAACTGAAAGCTTCACATTCATGTACATGTAAGCTATATATGAATCTTTTTCCTGGTAGTGCTACGTAAGTAGTACGGACAGCGCAATAGGGATTAATTCGGGAACTCTTTGGTGTGCACTACTAAATTTTAGCGTTAACAAATTTTAAATGAATATTCTTATATAATCCGATTTTGTATCGATGATTCAGGTTTACTAATCCGTGCAGGTAAATTCACCGATATTTTTAAATTCTAATAGGATGGACCAACAACTGGCTATGTACTGTAGCTCCATCACTTTTTCAAAATATGAAGTATCTTATTAATAGAACAGATTGTTTAAAATATTCAAAATCGAGCGTTGTACATGGGTGCACAACTATGTTACCGGTCCAGCGCGCCATAACTATACAATCCCTAGGAGCACAAATGACTTGCGTCAACTGGCTAGAACAACTTTCATTCCTGATCAAGATCGCCTTTCTTCAAGGCGCATCAAGTGTGTGCCAACAGTTCTCGTGGCTCTCGGGTTGGCTGTAGTTTTAGCGCATTGTGGGCTTCAAATGTCCGCAGAATCTGCTTTTGTAGAAATGGCCACGAACAACTATCCACAGCTCCCAAATACGCCAGCAGACGAGATCACTTCGGTCATTACCTGTTTTCGCAGTATACAGGCCGGCCTCACAACGTTTTATAAGTGAAAGGTTGGAGCGTAAATTTGCACACGTTAATGTGTGAAGTATGTAAGTGAATGCGTAAATGCGTAGATATAACAACCGCAACAGCTAGCTCTTTGCCGCGGCGGCAAGGTATGAGCTCGAAGTGGAGCGGGGGCCTCCACAGCAGAAGAGATGAAGAATTTGCGGTTGTGAATGCTTCTCTTCTCAATGGATTGAAACTGACCAATATCACAAAAATCCCGATATCGCCACACAATTTAAGAGGCTAAAAGTAAACTGCAAAAATCGTTTTCAATACCGGTATCGTCTCACAAAAAATTGTCACTACCAGCCCAACCCTCTAGTTTCCTGCGAATATTTGTTTTGCAAAGATGAAACATCACTAGACGCATAGAGCTCACTGTCTCGTATTGTCTCCACCAAGTGTCCAGTCGAATCCCTGAAAGCCTTTGTCGTCGTTGGCGTAGGTGTTGGTGATTGGCGTCGGGGTTGCAGGAGCAGCTGTGGGGCTCTCAACGAGCCAGTCCCAGAAACCCAAGTGGCGCTCTTGCTGTTGCGGTGGCGGCATCATGTTCATGTCAGCTCACAGCTTTGTGGCAGGAACAGGAACCGTCTGGATCTCTGCAGTCGAAACCATGCTCAAAAGTGCGAGGGAGCAGATGCTAACAACGGAAGTAAGGAGCATTGTGGTCGGTAAAGCGTGCCTCGCAAGCTTCTTGGATCTGAGCCGTGGGGCGTGAATTGGAAAGTGAGGCTGGTGATAACTCGGACAATTCGAAGTGCACAGTTCTCTCCAGCAAAGCCTATGATATGAAGAATGATATTTCCCATGTGGTACTAGCAGTAACATCATCATCAAATGTTATCACATTCGCTTTCTTTTCAATTGCGTTTTTATTATAGTTTAGCACGCAAACGGTTAGAGCTGTACTCAAAACAGAGGACCTTTGCAGCAGGTCATGCTTTCGTAGGATTCAGACGGGTTCTATTGAATTATTCTACTATTTCGTATCATTTACCAGTAAATACCCATAAAACCAGGAGAGAACCATGATGCCGGTATTTATGGAAAGGTGTGAGAATCATGAATGCTTTGACGAGATCGTGCTCTGGTCCGCACAGTGTGCGGCACACCTCAGTCGAGATGGCGTCATGGAATTGTTATCATCGTCTGATTGCTTGTTTGGGATCCGGTGAGGAAGAAAACATACGCTCTTGGATTTACTACGACTTTGTAAAAGAGCAACCCAGCGTTTATCAAAAAGAAAGGGGTGTGTATCCTGCCTCCCGTACGAGAGTAACTTGGTTTTATCCAGGCATAGGTAAGTATACGTTGTTGTGGTAGTTGGCAAATCAATACTTCGATATATGTAGCTTTAAGAGAGCTGCATCGTTATTTTTGAAGAACTTGATTCAATCCGTTATATGACGTTGGATACTAAATGATGCCATGCCCGCTTCGGTGAATTTAAACAAATGAATTGATTTTTCATGTGCTAGACAGGAATCTGCTAGACATGTGAATCGCATTACCACATTCACAGTGTTAATGCCAAAACGGTTCGCCGAACCGATGCCCCCATGGCCCATCGTCATCACCATCCATGAAACTATCGCAGGAATCATCATCATCATCATCATCGTCGTCGTCGTCGTCGTCGTCGCCGCTCAAAAACCGTTCGCCTTCCCGACCTGATGGACGGATCGACATGATATCGTCAGTGCTATGAGTTGGTATGTCGGGATGCTGTTGCTTGATGTCAGCCGCCACAGACACTGGAATAAAGGCAGCAGTATTTGAGGTATTTGCTTTGTTTTGGGGTACCGTAGCGTGTGCAATTCCAAGCAAGGCCAATGTTATAAGCTCAGTGAAGTGCATAATAACCAGTGGTATTGACTCTTGTGATGAGGAGGGAAAATTTGAGAATGAGCCATCTCGTGATGAGCTGTGAAACCTAAAAGCTTTCCTCGAATTTTTACGACCAATGAATCGAATACAAAAAAACTAGGTGATCTCGTTTTTTTTGTATTTCAGTCGAAGACGATGCGACTTTCGTTGTCCCGGTAGGTAGTAAGGGCTTATGCTAGCATGAATCATCGTTGTCGTCGTCCGAGTCGTCGTTATCATCATCAGAATCCTTGTCATCGTCTGAATCATCGTCATCGTCGTCGTCCTTATCATCGTCTGAATCGTCATCAGATTTGCCTTGGGTTTTTAAGAATCTGTCGGAAATTTCAGCGATACCTTTCGGATTGCTGGATTTGGGTTCTTCAACACCTCCAGTTCTTTGTAGGGACTCCACCATTTCCGCTCGTTTCCACGCGCCATTCCACGTGCTCGCTCCAATAGATGAGATCAGCAGGCACGAGAGAATAAGCTCGTAGAACCGCATCATGTTGCTAAGAATTTTTGAGCAATGCGCGGTCATCGGACAATCTCAGAAACTGAGAAAACGTGTCAGTTGTCATAAGTCCATCTTTCCTACTCAACCTTTCTCGGAGCAATTACCATGCGCAACTTTTTGGTCATTATCTAGCTGTCAAGCAATTGCTAGCAGACTCAAAACATTGGGGGTGTACGTACCTTTTCCTGTTTCCTAGTACTACTATATTACTTTTAAGTACTACATATTGGCAGAATCACACTACACCCGGCACAGTTTCATATTACGATAAATCCTACTAGTCGTATTTTTGAGAAACGTGGTTGCTGACATTTGAGTGTTCAACACGAGAGGGATGTGAAGTTGTGCACGATCCTCGTTAGAGAGTAAATTACCCGCGAGGATCATGCACTCCTTCGTAGTTGCTGTGGATTACTAGTAACAGAAACTTCATCTGTGAAAGATGGCGGTGTGTGATGCAACCAAGCAATACTTACGTGGATAGTAGAATGTGTCTTACCTCAGTTCATGACAGCAAGCATGCTGACGATGCAATTATACCTACGACAAATGCTGCCCAGCTATCGGAACCTGCATCAGTATCTACGCGAGTAGTCACGAGAATCTCTGCGGCTTCGACGATCGCGATCGCGGCTACGGTCCCGCTCGCGACCACGGTCACGGTCACGACTGCGGTCTCGGCCACGATCGCGTCGACGGTCCCGCGATCTAGATCTAGATCGGCGTCGATCCCGACGATCTCCCCCAGCAGCACGTCCTCGACTGCGACTCCGATCACGCGGAGGCTCATGAGCTCCATACCTCGACGCTCCTTCGTCGCGCGCTGCGCCGACCTGAAAGTGTCCGATCGCTTCTCTGCCCGAGTACTTGACGTTGACATCCGCTCCTCCCTTGCGAGTCTCTCCAATGCCACCTCCAAACTTTTTCGGCAGCCAGTCCGTCACGGTACGTCCTCGTTCGACATCTACAACCACGCGACGGCCGTCGATCTTCTTGCCGTCAGCGTACTTGTAAGCGGACTTCATGTCTGCCTCCTTCTCGTACTCCACGAATCCATAGCCACGCGACTTTCCCTCTGAATCCTCCACGAGCCGCACACTCTTAACAGGTCCGTATTGTTCAAACTCATGGCGTAGCTGCTGTTCCGTGGTCTCGTAGCTGATACGGCCAACAAAGAGCGTCTTGTATGCGTCCTTCGTCTTGCGCGGGTCCTCGGCGTTCGGGTCCCATTTGGCCCGGTCCTCCTGCATCTTAGCGTCGTTAGCCGCCATTTTCTCCTGGCGGCGGCGCTCGCGACGCTCTTTTGGTGTCTCCTGGACGTCGCGAGGAGGGGGGTTCACCGACTCGAAAACGTCCAAGAAACCCGCAAGGCCCGTGTATGGCGGCATCTTGCGCTTAACTAGTCGAGGTAGATGATCCAGTGGAGGGTTGGGCTCAAACATGACCTTAAGGTGCGGAGGCAGGTGCATGATGGCAGGCCCCATGCCGCTGGAGCTCATCTGCCCCTTGGGCGTCATCTTGCGGTGCGCATTCGGGTTGCTCATGGCTACTACGGGGCGCTGTAGAGATTAATAAACGTATAGAAGGATAGAGCAGGCGCGTGCGGAGACGGTGCACGCACGGCGAGGGCGCTTGGATATCTGTAGCGAGAGCTACCAGGAGAACAAGCACGCGTAGATCTAACCGCTGGCGAGTGGAGTGCGAACCGCTCACAATTGGAGACTTATGCGAATAGAGAGGCAGCGATATGCGCAATGAGGGGATTTGAATTACTCTGAATAGTAGCCCTTGTTGAGGGTCTTTTATTTGAGTTCTTCCACGTGGATACCCTTTCAGTCACTTTGAAGGAGACGATGCGGCCGACGACGTGGCTGAGCGCGGGCTTAGCGGCGCTCCTGGCAGCCGCGCAGCCCTCGCTGACGTCTGCGCGTGGTGTACACGTGAACCTGACGGCCAGTTGGCCAAGCTCCCCGTTCTTCCCTCTTATGGAGACCAGGTCGGTGGCTCTAGTAAAGGGTCTCAATTATTCGTGAGTCTATCTTATTTGGAGTAATTCTTATTTGCAGTGAATTCTTGGCGGAGGAGAATCCCCTTTACTTCTGGCAGTTCCTGGAGGAGTTAGAGACGCGCACGGCATATGTGGAATTCATGGGCAACGACGTGGATGCCCTGGGGACACTCGCAGTGACTGTTGCTGAGAGCATCGCAGCCGGATCCAAGAATGTGCGGAAGTTAAAAGATACTTTTTTATTTATGATTTCTTATGTATGCTTAATTGTTGGTGCAGGTCTTGGAGTTGATGCTGGCGACCCGAACGTACTCAGTGCAGGTGGAAATGTTCCGACAGTTGGGTCTGGACTCGGGTGTTCGTCCATGTGGAGAGGATGCAGACACGTGGGCAGTTTTCTACAATGAACCACACTGTGTGGAGTCAGTTGCCTGTTCCGTGGACGAGCTGGAAGCTATTTTACGTGGCAAGAAGAAGCAGCAGAACAAGGATCAGACTTGTGTGGCTGCAGGTGTCAATGACATCGAATTGCAGGTGGACCACAAGTATCCGTTCATTGCATCGGACTCCGAGAAAACCCCAATGTCGGCGATTCTCTATGGTCTTGTGGGTACGGAGAAGTTCCATGCTTTCCACAAGAAACTCGTCAAGCAAGCGCAGAATAACAATATTCAGTATATGGTGCGTCACTACCCGCGTGACTCGCCCTTAGACACGTTACTGCAGGGATATGGTGTGGCGTTGGATATCAAGAACATGGAGTACAAGACAATTGACGACTCTAAGAAAACTGGTGGCGATGATACTGCTAATGACGAGGAAGGTGCGGAAGAAGAAGACGAAGAGGAGGAGGAAATCGACGATGAAGAAGTCGACGGATTCCTGTTCAAGCCTTTGATGGCTCGCCACGGAGCTATTGCTGATGATCTTAAGCAGTTTTACGATATCCTTGTCAAGAAGGCCGATGGAGAGCAGGAACAGGAACTGAAGGCGTGGCATCTGAAAGATTTGGGCGCGAGTGCGGTCCGTGCTATCGTGGACGCTAAGAACCCGCTGAAGAGACTTGAGACGCTATCACAGGACTTCCCAGTCCAGGCGAAAAAGCTGGCGTTCTCGCGCAAGTCGATTTCTACCGAGCTACGCGAAGAGATTGCCCTCACACGCATGCAGGCCGCCAACAGAAGACTAAAGAACAAGTTCATTATGAACGGCATCGCTGTGGACCCAACGGAACGTTCGTTTAACGTGTTTGACTTCATGAAAACACTCAAAGAAGAGTGGTCCGTGGCCAAGCAGCTTGGTGGTTTGCCCCTGAACCAGTCAGAACTGGAAGATATGCTCAAGCATGTGCGTGAAACGAACCAGGAGCAGCCAGTGGTTCGTATTCACGTGCATGGGTCCATGGGTGGATCCACTCCACTGTACCTGAACAATATCGAGACGGATCCAAACTCTGCGGACTGGTCACCGGATTTGAACATCCTCAGACGCCCAGCGTGGAACCTCATCTTCGTTCGCAAGAATATGTACGAATGCGTGCTTGTTATGGATCCATTGACTGGTGCAGGTCGTGCTGCACTGTCCCATATCGGGTTTATGCGGATGCGTGGCGCTCCTGTTCAGTGGGCACTTCTCGTTTCTTCGAAGGAGCTCATGGCGAGCAAAACGTCTGATGAGCGTCAAGCGGTAGTGGAGAAGTACAAGGCTTTCAAAACTACAGACAAGGCAAGTCCCTGGCATTTCGCGAAGCTGTTGATGTTGGCACAGTCCAAGGACAATGCTGAGGCTGCAGTTAAGGACGATGAAACCAATAATTCACAGAGTGGTGATGAGGAAACTACTGAAGTTGAAAAGGAAGAGAACCGAATCACCCCTACAAGAGTTGCCTCGGGATTCCTGCAGCGAGTTGGAGAAGATGGAAGCTCTGATGTTCTGGTAGAACGCTTGGTGGAAGCCTACGCTGAAGCAGCAGGAGGGGTTGGAACGGTTGAAGACAATGAAGAAGAGGCACTGGAGTGTTTGAATAGCGACCAGTTCGATGACGAAATCCTGGCGATGACAGAGTTCATTCATCTGAAGCATCTGCCGTTGGACTCGTTCGTCTTCAATGGCGTCGTTCAAAAAGATTTGGACATTCAGAGGTCGATGATGGCCAATTTCGGGCGTGACCAGCCGTTGTACGTTAACATGGCTCATCGAGGTATGCTGAATGGTGAAATGGATCTCATTGAGGAGCTCTTGGCTGAGCAGGATGCATATCCTGCTTACTTATCGATTTTTGAGAGCTCAGAAGGCAGACCGGGGGACATGGAAGTCAAGACGCCCAGCCATCTCGTTGCTGACGATGTCGATGGTCGTCTTGAAGCTGCAGCACGACCCGCAGTCTCGTACTTGCATGCTCCAGGTTCGAGAGCTCTGCCCAAAAAGCAGACTGTGATTTTCCCTGTGGACCTCAACGACCCACGAGACGCCGGTCATGCTTATCGGGTTGTGAAGGCTGTACTGGAGGATTCCGAGCAGTCCTTACGCGTTGGAGTTGTGGCACAGTTGAATGATTCCGATAGAAACACTGTGGGTGAGCTCGCGGCTGCTATTATTGCTGCTATCGGACATTCGGACAATGAAGTCCACCTGAAGTTTGTATTGGAAGCTCTGAACTGTATTGTCAAGCAGAAATCTGTCAACACGATGAAGGATAAGCTCAGAGGAATTTGGAACAAGACATCGAAGAGCGAAAATGACAAGGACCCGATTTACGAGAAGGTACTTAAGCTTCTCAGCAGTAAGACAGGGAAATGGCTGACTACCAAGCAGCGTGGTGTGCTTACGCAGTTCAACACGCTCCTGCGGTCGCGATTCCCGCCATCATATGCGCACGAGAGTGAGGAAGATTCGTCCAAGATTGCCCTTCCGCATCTGTTCATCAACGGAAGACAAGTGGTTCTTCCTCCTCAGTCGCTGTCAGACGAAGATGTGGCAACTATCGTGAACTTTGATCTGAAATACCGCACTCAACCTGTGGCAAAGGCGCTCATTAAGCGCAGTGCCACGCTGAAGGCCAGGGATGCTGACAAGCTAAGCTTTGCTATCATGAAGACCACTGGCATCGTTGACAAGTACGTGAAGACCGATCGGACGCCCCAAATGAATGTGGAGGAGAACTCTCTCAACACTGTTCGTCTGCCGGGCGATCCTTCTCTTCAGGTTGCTGCTTACGTCGATCCATTGTCGGAGTCAGCGCAGGTGATGAGCTCCTTGCTTCGTATGCTTCACTCACAGCTAAACGCTACCATTGAACTGGTTCTCCTTCCTGCTGACGAGTACACGGAATTCCCGCTGCAACGCTTCTACAGATACCTGTTTGATAAGAAGTCGTCGCTTGCTGCTACCAGCGTCGAGTTCCGTAAGTTGCCCGTGCAACCAATTCTGACTATGAAAATCGACACTCCAGAGGCGTGGAACGTACAGGCTTTCCACGCGGGCGATGACCTGGACAACTTGAGAGTGGATCCTGACAGTCCTGCAGCGGCGAAGTCTACAACGAGTGCTGTGTTCCAGCTGGAGAGTCTGCTCGTGTATGGCCAATGCCGTGATACGACGTTCAACATGTATTCGCCTCCCAACGGTCTGCAGTTAGTTCTTGAGCGCGAGGTTGGAGCTCAGCTGCTGCACCGTGATACTCTTGTGATGAAGAACCTGGGATACTTCCAACTTCAGGCTACACCCGGCGTGTGGTCACTGCACTTGGCAAGAGGTAGAGCCGCTGAACTCTATGACATTATTGACCTAGACACCGAACTTCCGTTGGAGACCCACCCCATCACAGTTTATGACTTCGGTTCGCACATTTCTCAGCTGTATGTACGCAAGAAAGAGGGCATGGAACATGAAGAGCTGCTTCAGTCGGTCGAGGACGCAGCATCGGAAAAATCGAAGTCAGAGTCGAGTGCCAGCGAGGACGATGGAGCTCTCCGCTCATACTGGAGCTCAATGCTCAACATGATGGGCAAGCAGGACGACAAGAAGATTCAAGATGCAGTTACTGAAGCAGAACAAGCAGATAACGACAGTGCTGTTGTGCAGCACAAGGAGCGCACGGGTGAGACGATTCACGTGTTCTCGGTGGCGTCTGGCTACCTGTACGAACGATTCGTCAAGATCATGATGTCGAGTGTGCTCAAGCGCACCAACAACCCGGTGACGTTCTGGCTGCTGGAGAATTTTTTGTCTCCTGACTTCAAGAAATCCATCCCAGTGCTGCGCGAAGAGCTTGGTATGGACATTCGTCTGGTGACGTACAAGTGGCCGAACTGGCTGCGTCAACAGACCGAGAAGCAGCGTATTATCTGGGGCTACAAGATTCTCTTCCTGGACGTGCTTTTCCCGCTGGGTGTGCAAAAGATCATTTACGTGGATGCTGACCAAGTCGTGCGTGCTGACCTAAAGGAACTCTGGGAACTCGACTTGCAAGGAAAACCGTACGGCTACACGCCCTTCTGCGACTCTCGTAACGTGGGTTTCCAGTTCTGGCGACAAGGGTACTGGAAGGACCACCTGCGCGGAAAGCCGTACCACATCAGTGCCTTGTACGTCGTTGACTTGGCGCTCTTCCGTCAGATGGCGGCCGGCGATATGCTGCGTGCAGTGTACAGCCAGCTGAGCGCTGACCCCAACTCGTTGGCGAATCTGGACCAGGACCTGCCCAACTACGCGCAGCACCAGATCCCGATCTTCTCGTTGCCACAGGAGTGGCTCTGGTGCGAGTCGTGGTGCAGTGACGACACCAAGGTGGCAGCCAAGACCATCGACCTGTGCAACAACCCCAAGCACAAGGAACCCAAGCTGGATATGGCCAAGCGTGTCATCGCTGGAGAACTCTTCAACGAGTCGTGGATTGAGCTGGACCAAGAGATTAAGGACGCCGAGGCGAAATACGCTGCTCAGGCTGCGTAAGTGTGGGTCTGTCAACTGTATCCCTGATCATCAAGAGTCAAATAGAGAGGGGAGTTCATAACCTTTTGTTGTTGGTTTTGGTATTCTGAAGCGTGTGCTATTCCTCTCTTTGTTGTTGGTTCAGCAAAGCTTGACGCAGTAGTAGGCGTGACCGATCGTGCGGCGTCGTGTAGCGTGTGCAGCTCAATACGCGGATGCATTCCTCCAGCGTCGTGAACTCGATCTGTACAGTATCAAAGCGACACTGGAAGTGCTGGGTCTCCGCAGCTTGGCCGCGTCCCTGGTGGACGCTGCGAATATCTAGAATGAGCATCTGCTCGATAGCCGTCTTCAAGTCCGCCACGTTGGAGTAGAAGGACGACAACTTGGCGTCTACTAGTTCCGTTAGTGAAGCCGTAGCTTCCGGCGTGAACTCAACTGGTCTTGTCACTACGTCCGTCTCGGCAGCCACCCAACCCGGGACAACGTGTCCGGGCACGTAGTCTGCCGGCACGTAGGGCTTGACATCCAGCACTGGTGTGCCGTTCACTAGGTCGTGGCCACTGATTTCAATGCATCGGTCGCGAATAGCCTCGATTCTGACGACCGAGAGTCCAATAGAGTTGGGGCGGTGCGGTGTGCGCGTCGAGAAGAGACCGACCTTCTTGCCTCCGAGGCGAGGTGGGGCGATTTTGGCTGGGAACGTCGTCTTAGGAGCGCCCTTGGCCAGGTTGGTATTCTCGTGGAAGACGAAGAGCACCCAGAGGTGACTAAACTGCTCCAGGCATTCGAGACTCGCTGGCGGTATATTTGTCTTGAACGTGATGCGGGCTCGAGAGTTCTCCACGAGACCTCCTTGTCTCGGAGTGCCGCGGCGGTCCGCGAAGCATGACTGTACGTGTGCCACGGCCTCGAAGTTGTAGCCTGCTGCTTCTTGCTGCCGCTGTAGCGCCTCGCGCGCCTCCCGCTCTGCGTTGGTCCGTCCTGTCCGCTCCTGCGCTCGGAGCTGCTTCTGTCGCTCAATTTCCTGCTCCAATTCCTTTACCAGAGGATCGTCATTGTGTAAATGGCCCTGTCGTCCTCCTCGTGTCAATAGATAGCGACCAAACCAAGCGCCAAGCGTCGCACACAGCGCACCCGACGCCACCAGGGACGCCGCCGTCCACCGCGTCAAGGTCATCTCGCGTGTCTTATGCTGCAATGGATGATGATCATCGTGAGCCTGATGATTGGCATACTTTATGTTTCTTGATGGGATTCATGTTTCTGTCATAAAACAGTACATTCATTAGAATTTTCACTGTCAGTAAAAGTACACTCCAGCTTTCGCATACTTGGTCCACCATTTAAGACATAATTTTTGAGTGAAGAACACCGTCTTTGAATACGGATAGATTCGGAGGCCGGGTTCTAACTCCCCGAATCTGCAGGCTTGCTTCACATACTTTGAATAGTGTGCGTACCAGAAAAAGGTAATGAAGCTTGTTACTTCTACGATCTAGACAGTAGTTTGAAGATAGCTCCATAGATTCAGATCTCAAGTCGAATGCCGAGTCTTGCCGGCGCCAAATATTTACAATTACTACTAGTATGCTACAGCGTTACTGGTACTTTTATGATTATGAAGATGAGACTCTATTCTGTTTTCTTGTTGGTACCTTTATATTTTACAGAGGACATACCAATTGCGCGTATGAACAAATATTGCCAAAGCTTTTTATTAAGATAACCTTTTTAATAGAACGGACTTCACAGAAAAAACGGTCACCATCTGAATGCAGCAGCTTCCCTTCGTCGATACTTCTAAGCCGCAACCATTGCAATGACCTTCTTACGTTAGTAAAATGGAAAATGGTTAGTTGTCCTCCATTCCAGGCCCGGCGGGTTGTGGAGCCACACAACTGTTTTACTGAAGAGACTGCACAAACACTACCAAACGATTATAAAGTGTTGTGCTCGAACTAAGCGATACCAGCCACAAAGCGGAAGACCTCCGCAACAACAGAAGAAGGCGAGGAACTTGCCACAAAAATGCTGGACCAGCAGGATAGCTGGTCGGCAATCTGAGAATTGCTTGTTGACATGTGAAGGTATTCCGCCGGACTGCGAAATCACACTGGTGCTGGTGCTGTCGCTGACCGTGTTGGGAGAGCGAGAGCGCTGGAGGTTGTTCACAATTTTTTGCGGGTCTTTCGCTGCACGAGTATCCGGTGCTACGTGGCCCTGCAGATCGCAGTGCTTTCCTGAAGAAGCTTCCTCAGCGTCATTTCGTGGCTCCATCTTGGTCGAGGACACTCTCTACTGCATGCATCGTCAAATGCGAGCTCTCGGAGCCTCCTTCCATCTACTGCCATCGATCGACCTGTACATGTAGCAAACAACGTAGTTGATCCAAACACTGCACTTCAGTGTCAACTCCATGACAAAAGCCGCCAATCATTCCGCCCTGATCATTTTCGCGTCGCACCAGCCATAACTTGGTGCCTGCCATGTAAAGGATCATTTTTTCCAGCCCCGCCCATGCCCCAGCACTTTCAGCACCACGTCTGTCCACTTCCACACCATACAAAACCCAACAGCATCCCACCGGTAAAACCGGTATATCATAAAAATTCCTCGAGTTCGCAGAAGCCATTCGAGAATGGAGACCCGACACCGCTGCTCCATGCTGTTGCTGCTGCTGCAGACGCTCAGAGCGTCTGCCAGCGAGCGCATCGTGCTCTCCCATACAGGCAACGTCAGTGTTCTCTCCTCGGGGCAGACGTTAGTGCCGCTGGAGCTCTCGTCCGCTGCGCTCACGGACCTTTTGATGAAATCGCAGGACCTCTCGCCTGTCACTTTGGACTCATATGTGTCTGGGGGCGAGTGGAAGCTTAATAACTGGAGCGCACCGGTCTCACAGATGCTGTCAAAAGACGGAGGCGCCAATCACACGGTGCAGGTGGACGTACACTTCTCAGACGGGCTAGACGTGGCTGTCTCGCAGCTACTAGTACAGGCAGACCCCACGCCGCTGGAGAGCGTGGACCTGTCGCTTTCTTTTGGCAACGACGCACTGGCGGAACTCTCGGGACTTGTGCAGGTTCATGTGGACGGCGTGAAGGCGACGTTCGAGGACCAGTGGCTACCCGCGGGTGTGGATCTGAACCAATTGTAAGTTATGAGGGAGGAAGGGCGATACAGGATAGGATACTTATATTTTTGTTGCTCTACTTGTTATGACTGCAGGATGATCGATGGCTCTACTGTAGAGAGTTTAGAGCTGGGAGCCTCGGGGACGATCCAGCAGGTTGTGATCCGGAAGAGTAACCTGTCGTTCCCGACTGCGGTGCTGGGGGCTGGCGTGACAACGATGTATGTTGATTGTGTTTTGTTAACGCTCTAGAGAAGGCTGTGCTGACTTTTTAATCTTTGTTGCTGCAGTATATTGGAGTACAACACGATTTCTGGGCCGATTGAGTTGACGAAGGACGAGTACAAGCAGCTAACAAACATCTCGGACTTCAGAGCCACAGGGAACACTGTGGAATCGACTGGCAGTGGATCATCGTCGTGTATAAAGGAAGAAACTGTCGGCGAGCTGGCAATTTGCATCGTGGACGACGTGCAGAACACGAATACGTCTTATTACACTGGAAGCCCAGGCAGCGCCGACAACACGCAAGCTACCGGATCTCTTGAAACACAGTCAGCCAGCGACACCAGCAGTTCTCGCAGCACGCTATCGATTACCGCGATTGCACTGGCCTGCGCGTGCACGGTGGTGATAGTAGTGGTGCTTTCCTTCTTCCGTCGGTTTAAGAGGAAGGCGAGCAAATTCGTCGATGAACGACTGACGTTCACCAATCGCGAGGACGACTTACTTGGAGGCGGTCGCAGGAGTGAGCCTGAGTTAGAGCATGGTCCATCGAGAGACTCGAAGATTCTGGCAGATATGGATCTCGGAAAGGACCAGGTTATACTTCACAAGAAGTTAGGCATTCAAGGTCTGTGGCTGGGCGAGTATCAGGACACGAAGGTTGTTGCGCTCAAGTTTGTGCCTCGAGAGCTGAATATGGTGTTGGAGGAACTAAACGCTGTTAGACTATCGTATGCCCCACTTCGACACGATAACATCGTGACCTTCTTGGGATCCAGTTGGACAGATCGCGAAGAGGTTCTTATCGTCGTGGAGCACATGTCCAAGGGCAGTCTCAGATCGGTACTAGCGGATAACAAGGTCGAGCTGACATGGCCTCAACGGCTTCAGATGTGCAAGGATATCTGCAGTGGATTGGACTTCATTCGCTCCATCCAAGGAAGCATGTTGTCGCGGAATCTGACGGCTAGAAGTGTGCTCCTTGACGCTCAGCTTACTTGTAAGCTGGACATCTTCGACTATGCCTCGAGTCTTCGAACGGATTTGGTACCTGTGAGGTCATTCGGACACGGAGATATCGCTAGTCGGGCACCTGAACTACTCAAGGGCGAGGAGATCACAGCAGCAGCTGAGGTGTACGCGCTTGGTGTTATTTTCTGCGAGATTTCGTCGCGCAGCAAGCTGTTTGAACACGTATCGGAGGAACGTGGCCATACCATGGCTGATATTTTTATTGCCACTGAGGTGGTTGCCCAGCGCCTGAAGCCATCGCTCGCAGAGGACTCTCCTGCTGCCTTCCGCGAGTTAACATTGCGTTGTCTGTCGTACATGCCGTCCGAACGACCGAAGATCGGCGAGATCTTGAGCATGATTTCCAAGTAAAATATAAAACATGCTACTCCTTCTTGATGTCACCCCAAGGAATTTGATGAAGACGCTCCGCTAGCTGTTGATAGGGCAGCGTACGTTGCGCCGTGGTCATGGCAGCTCGACCGCTGGAACTGGGAAGAACCCACACTTCGCTATCTGCACGAAGCTCGCGTGGCCATCCTGGAGGGAATCTCGTTTGCTTACCGTAGTTCTCGATCTTGGACAAAGGTGGTGAGAACAACCAGCTGAACTGCCGCTTGCCGGAGAACGCGATCAATATCGGGGCGTGTGGAAGCGTGCACTCGGTCTGTTGAGCTTCTTCACCTTCATCTTCCTGTTTCACGATGGCATCGTGGTCATTCAGACAAACTTGTGCAGCATGGCGACGTAGCCGTTGGAAGAAACTATCTCGCCATGCTTCCACTAACGATACGGATGAATAAAAGCACAAGGGTTAGCACACGCTGATGAATGAAGTAAAAGGACTTTCATACTTGTTGCCTTGCCGTATTTTGAAGCATCATTGCCAGGCTGATCACGGCAATTAATAGCGTTAGGTTATATGCATCGCAACTTTAGATGTCAATCATTACCACTAGTCCGATCGACGTGAAGCCAACACCATGGACAGTAGGCAAGATGTTTTGTTCCATGATACTCGCCGTTGAAGGCACAACGCCCTCCCACGAGTGTGGCGACAGTGTCCCAGTCAATAACATCCACATGCGGTTCGTTGGGTTACTGCAAGTCGACAGTAAGTGTGGATACTGGTTCAGCTACAGGCTACTAGCCACTCACCTGTAGGAATACCCAGTCTTCCATGCATGGTCTGAGGGATTATGACCTACAATAAGTAAGCGAAGACGACGATCTGGGTAGTGAACACAAGGCAGAGCCTGTTCAAAGCAGTCGTCGCAAATGGCATGCCAGCGTTCCTGCCACTTGCCGCTCGCTTGAGCTTCTTTCTCGCTCTCTGGCTCCTTGTGTCTGTTCTTGGTTCTCTTCGCAAAAACGTCCGCAACAGACTCCGCAGTATCGTTGCAATTGTCCTCAACGCATGGAATAGCGTCTACCGTATCTTCGTCACGCTCGCGCTTGGCGCCGAACCGGAATCTGTCGAAGATCCCTGCCATAGTTATGAAGTGTATCTTATTGTGCTATCTTCTATAACATAGTACTTCAGTTGTTATAAAGTAAAATATTATTGTGATTTCTTCTATTTTAAATGTTCTTGTTCTTTCTTCTTTTTTAATATTAAAATAACAGTAAAGTAAAAAAAAATACAACGTTGAATTTATTTTATAATTGTCACTCACATACTACCATTGTCCACCATTACCGTTCATATCTTAAGCAGTTTGAACCTCTTGCTGAAGTGGGAAATCGCCGTGTCTAGCACTTCGGCTGGCCGATTGTCATCAATCTGGCCTGTGGATTGAATGTAGCTCTTGGAGCCGCCATACCGGTCAAAGAGGGCTTTAGCATGTTCTGGCATGAAGAAATCCTTCTTCGAGGCGCTGATAAAGAGGCACGGAAGTGTGAAATATGGCACTGCATCGAGCAACCGCACATCGCGGAAACTGAATCCTCCAGCCTTCCCGATGGAGTTCGCCAGGATTTTCTGCGACGCTGTGACCATCGCAGACGGAAAAAACAGACTACGTCGCTCGGCGCTCTTGGTGATCATCTGTAACATATCCCAAATTACTTGCTCCATGTCTCCGTACGCGCTGTCGGCCGTTAAAGCAAAGATGAACTTGTCATCTCCAGTGTCACTAGAAGAGCGCTTTTTGAAACCCTGTAAGCGAGCTGTACCGCCATTTCTTTTGCAGCTCCGCTGAATAAGACGATAGCATGCTGTCGGGTTTAAACCCTGGACAGGAACATTGTCAATTGCAAGTAGAACGAAGTCCCCGTTTGCTGCGCTGTACTTGTTGAACCTGAAGTGCAGTCCAGCTACTGGAGGAATACACAGAATGTGGTGATTCTCCTTATCCTCCACGACCTCCAATTTCTTTGCGTTTTTGCTCGAAAGCGTCATAGTTTCATAGTGATACGGCATACGCTCCTTCACATGCAGCAAAGCCGCAGCCGATCCAATATCGCGCCCCCAAAAACCCACAGCCGACGCACGTCCTGTAGCATACAGATAATCTACCACCGTCCGCAAGTCATCGTGCTCAAAATACCCAAATGATACGCGATCACCGCCAGAAAGACCCGAGCCTGACAGATCCAATGCGAAAAGTGAGAAACCCGCAGCCAGCACTTTGCGGTGCAAGTAGACGCATTCTTTGCGGGAGCTTGACATACCATGCAGATAGATGATGCATGGGTCGATAGCCGTACTCTTCGGTGTCTGTTGGCTGCTCCAACTAGAATTGCTACTGCTATCCGTGCCACTCGCACTCTCTGCCTGGGATGCCTCCATGGAACATGCAACCACCGTCTTCTCCTCCTCACTGTTCAACGAGGAAGATGACGAGGAGCTCGCGAGATCTGTGATTGGATCTGCATCTCTCACTGTTCTACGACGCCAGAAACTGCACGCCAAGGGCTCTCCTCTGGCATTGTTGAGGTAAAAATCCTCTCGCACAAATTCTTCGTTTTCCTTGTGCACAGTGCCAAGGCGGAACTGTCGATCACCCAGCTCCCGAGCCGAGTATTCAGCTCGCACGGGACTGGCGATAGATTGCACCAACTCCTCGTACGTCTCGGAGAAGAGATTCCACCAGGTACCAAGGCTGTTAGCTTTCAGGTCGCGTTTGTGCATCTGGTATAACGGTGTTATCAGATAAAAAGAGAAACGGTCCAATGTCAGTTGAAGCAGTCGACTGGGAGAAGGGACTAATGCGTAAGTAAGCAGACTCACCTCGGCCTCCAGCTCGCCGTCTTGGAAGATCTCCATGGCCAACCTTGCAGCTTGAGTCCAGTTCGCCACTTTTGTAATGGCGGCATTTGAGCTGAGACGTTACGATGTTAAGAGCTTTAGTGAAGCTGCTCGACAAAGTTAATAAATTTCATTTATATGTAATTATTAGAGGAAACAGATAGTTAAACGGGAGATTGAGACGCGCTTCTGAAATTGTTGTTTGTTTGCATCTGGTGACGTCATTCTTTCGAAACTGAGCTTCAAAAGGCGGCTGAAAATTGGCACTTGAATTTATAGGTAAGCTTAGCTTGGTTTCTAATACAAACTATAAGTCACCTATAGTAAGACTATGTAGAGATGCAATGATTGGCTCCTAGATCCCCTG